AGCAGAGATTTCCTTGGATCATACACTAGTGAAAACAGCCAATCAGAGCTCCTCCCACTTGAACCTGGTACTGTCAAAAGATATCCATAGATAGCGTACACTAACTTTGGCAATAAAAAGTGATAGGCATTTTAACATGAATATTACAGACTAAAAGCTTAGTCCAGCTTAGAAAATGGTGAAATATTCAGGTAATATACTGACAATTTTAACAATACTGGTGTCCATTTGGTATATACAGGTAAATATCACCTAGTCCTAAACTATACTGTCTGATTTCCAAGGGAGATAACTGACCTGTTTTTCTAGTTTTTTCTCATCTTCCTCGATAGCCTCCATTAATTTACTAATTTCTTCATTCTTCTCCTGTAATGTTTCACCTAACTCTTCTATTGTTGTTTCCTATAACAGCACATGAAAAATAACTTTACAATGTTTACAAAGAGCCCCCACTTCCACAGCATAAACCAAATAGATATGGAACAAAACTTAAGTCATTCTGAACAGGTTTCTCCTTGAGTATTCAATTCTTAGTCTGGCCTCTATCTGCAATGTAATATCTGAATATGGTATCAGATTATGGGATATTCCTAAACTTTTATCTTATTAAGGATATACATTTGTATATTGTAGGGAGAACCTACCTGGTCATGTACAGTATCCTTAGCTTGTTGTAATTGTTGACTTAAAACATCTAATAATTCACTATTAGCTATTTCTTCTTTAGTATAGCCACTCGCTGCTAGTGTCTAGGTGAATAAATAGATTTTAATAATTCATTCATTTAAAGGAAAATTATCTGATTGTATTCTGTAGGGTTGATTATCATTAAGGTGGAAATAGATGAGATATGTGTATAATGCAGGATTGTTATTAGAAGAAGAGTCAATCATCCCCATAGCTATTCTTGTGTATTGACTTCTATTCTCTATTGTATTAGAAGAAGCTAATCTTTGCCAATAGCCATTCTTGTGCATTGACTTCTATTTTCTAATGTACCAATAATCCCACTGAATAGTTACTTACAATACCTCATCAAGTAAAGGTAATTAGCAAATCATTATTTCTCAAAGTTGATTATCGTGATCTACAAATATTGGGATGAATAAATTGAACAATGACGTTAGATATTGTGGTTTTCTAAAAACCCTGGACCCCGTTTCTCAAAGAGTCGTGCAACTAAACTTGAACGTTAAGTGAGGAAAAACGTTATTTTTGGTGTTATCAAATCATTAATTTACAACGTTTATGCTAGCACGTAATCTACAATATTTTGAGAAATGGGGTCCTGAGCTCTACAAACATTCTTCCCACCATTATTTTAAAGAACTTACATGTTGAACTTGTTGACGTAATTCTTCGATATTTTTGGTTAAATTCTGGTTTGTTTTTTCTAATTCATGAAGTTTACGTTCACCCTTGTCCTGTAAATTAACAGAATTAAAAAATAAGGAATAGAATTATTGATGTCAGTGATACGATGTGAGAAGTATGAACAAATCATGTGACCATCAGTCATGTATAACTCCTGTCATACATCCCAGTCACTCATACAGAGATTGACAGTGAAATGGTCTAAACTTGACCTCTAGTTGTGTTCACTTATTGCTACACAAATAACAGATATGGCCTCAATTCTGCATGCCGACTTGCACTGAGACTTAGTCTAACGGATCAAGGGATTGATGATTTTGTCCAATCAATGCCAAGGTGACACTAGTCCAAACTGTTCCTTTAGGATGACATTCGAATGGTGGTCTAATTCTGAAATGATCAAATTGTGAAAAAAACCTCCACTACCTACCTTCTGTTGAGTAAGTTGTGTCATGTTTGATTTTGAGTCAGCCAGTTTAAACTCTAAAGATGTTTGTAGTTTAGTCATAGATTCGTTAGTTTTCGTCAATCTAAAAACTTCAGCATTTAATTCTGTTATCTCTTTACTCATTCTCTCACATTTCTCGTTCAAATCCTGAAAATATTAAGCAGGGTTTAATAAACAAGTGCAGAACGTAGTTTTAGTTAGTAGATCTGATTAAATATCAATTCACATTGTGCTTTCAATTTTTCATCAACTCAGCATTTCTGATGACCATTTCATAATCTGGAATAAGTGTCTGCAGCTTGAGAAGCCCTCCTTTTTTTTGGTCTGGTGTAGACCTTCTCAGCAAGAGTCAAACAGAGTTGCTTGCCCTTGCTGTCATTTGACAGGAAATGGGAATGCGTCGAACGACATGAATAATAAAACATGGTCTAATGTCTACTGTGTTTTTCGACATAGTGAATCCCTTTTTTTGGATCACCCCAACCCCCAAGGACACTATTATAAAAGAAATTCCCATTCATACCTTGACTTTAAATTCCTCGGCTTTCAGTCTAATAGCAGGAACCCATTCATCAGTATTCTCATCATTCTTATCTCCCCTTGCTCGTTTCCGTGGACGATGTATCGACTCCATCAACATCTTGACTCTTTCTTCCACGATTTCCTCTTGTTGAATTTTATTTTCTCGTAACATGTCACTGAGTTAATAGAAATTAGACCATGTCACTTGAGTTAATAGAAATTAGACCATGTCACTTGAGTTAATAGAAATTAGACCATGTCACTTGAGTTAATAGAAATTAGACCATGTCACTTGAGTTAATAGAAATTAGACAGTGGGAGTTAGTTGAGAATTTGCGATTTATCACATTGTTATTTCAGGGAGCTGCACTGGTTCAGTGAGATAGGTACTTGCCCTTTAACTTGAAGGTCCAGGGTTCAATCCTGTTGAGATGATACCTTTCTGATTTTAAACTGGTTTTGCCTTGTCAGTTATGCATCTTGGAGGCATTGACAAGAAAAAACCTAGGCCTAGTTTGCTTTGTAAGTTTAACTAACTTCATAAAATATTTACAAGTTGACCCTCAGCTCTCCATCTATCCACATGATAAATAGAGAGGGCCACCATTTTTCTTCACCTACCCTGAACCCTTATCAGAACTACTAATTCTATCAGGTGATACAGGATAATATGAGAGCAAGGATTTCATCATCATTGGATCAACTTGTTTTAATTTGAACAATATTTCAGCCATTTTTTGTATGACCAAATGACCTCAGAAGCACTTAAATAATCTTACTTGTAATTCTCCTCTATAGAAACTATCTGTTGCATCATTTCTTTACAAACTTCCTCTCTGATTCTAGCCTCCATCATAGCTCTCTCCTTTCTCTCCTCTGACAGCTGATTCTGTAGATGTTCTATTATATTTAATGCCTCCTACAAAAGAAGAACAATTTTTTGTTTCTGTTCCTTCCTTCAAAATCAAGTTGTAGACATGATAAAAGAATCAATATCGGGGTGGTTAGAATGGGACAACAGACAGAGATATAATGTGCATGTTAAAGAACCTTAACAGTTAGAAATTGCTAAATAGTGGGCTAATGCTGCTTTCCTAGTAAAAATTTCCCTCATTGCAAACAGCAGGGCATGAAATGAACTGAGATGTTCTGTAATGATATATACCACTTGATATATGTACTTATTCTGACCTATCTCCAACTTGTTGATGCCTTAATACTTAGTCTTGGCATTCTATGAGTAGAACAGGATAGATGAACTGACTGTAACTACCCTACAACTCAATCTCAGAAATCCTGTGATAATATGTCCTGTACCAACCTGTAATTCTGACATGCTGACATCTAAATTCTCCTCTTCTGTATCTTCTTCTTCTGTAGTTTCAACAAAGTGACTGTTATATTTCATCATAGCACCTACAGATAATAAACAATAGTATAACTGGGAAAATGAAATGAATGGAGTATTACGTCTTACTTTCCTGTACCTTGTTGGCTAATGAAGACGGGCAACGCCATGCAGGGATTACCCTCTTTTTCGATTTCCAACTGTCGAGCCTGTAGTACACAGGGCCTTGGCTTATTGTCCCATCAGAACGACTTGACACTTTTTCCATGTTTTAGAGCATCAGTGACGAGGAAACAGGGTTGAAAAATAGAAATGATTTATAAGATATTGTTTTAGTTTTTGAGATATCTGGTTTCTGATGTACCAGGGTTCAATCCTGTTGAGATGATACCTTTTGATTTTAAACTGGTTTTGCCTTGTCATTTATGCATCTGGGAGGGGTTGGCATGGAAAAGCATCTAGTCAGTCAGATGGAACATTAAACCTAGGCCTAGTGAACTTTGTAAGTGAAACTAACTTTATAAAATATTTACAAGTTGACCCTCAGCTCTCCATCTATCCACATGATAAATAGAGAGGGCCACCATATTTCTTCACCTACCCTGAACCCTTATCAGAACTACTAATTCTATCAGGTGATACAGGATAATATGAGAGCAAGGATTTCATCATCATTGGATCAACTTATAAATCATGGTTAATTTTTTTGGTGTGTAAAGCATGGCAACCTTATACAAAAATTCGGAATTTCAGAAAAAGAAAAATAACAGGCCATAATCAGATACCTGCACTTCTACAAATTTCTGCAACTGAAATGAATGGAGTTTTAAGGCACCATGTGGGCTACTAGTAATGAAGACGGTTCTTCAATTGAAGTCTGTGAAACTTACCAGGAGTATCCCACATTATAGATGGTTCTCTACTTCGTAATGATTTATTAGCTATAGTTTTAGGTTTAGAGATATCAGGTTTTTGATGTACCACTACCTACAGATAGAAAGAGATAGAATCATTGACGTAACACTTGATGCTGATCAAATTGATTAGAAATCATCTGTTAAATGGAGTTAAACATCCTACTCAATAGCATCTACATATAATTGGGCTAATGAGGACAGGCAATGCCAGGAAAGTGCACTGAGGGAAGTTTTGTCGAAAAAGCAGCACTTGGAACACTCTTTTCAATTTCCAAATGTCAAGGGATCTTTAAGGTGCACAGTCTATATGTAGCACCCAGGGTTTGCTTTTCCATATTTGCTGAGCCCCTGCTGCTCCCTATCATTAACAGGGAAGTAAGGTGTAATAAATCTAGGGGTACTTATAATTGTTCATATAATGTAAGCCCCAGCAATTAAAACTCACACTTGTAAATGAAAAGTTTTTGAAATATGAACGTACCTGTTTAGCTATGGCTGAGAATTTAAATACGTGTAATGTTTCATCAAACATACTAGCACATTGATTAACATTAACTATCATAGCAGCTTTACCTCGACCACAGAAAAAATTCTGAAACAGTCTGGTTAGTTTACTGTCTCGGAACGGAATTATTCTATTGTTCTCTCTGAAACACAAGAAGTGCAATCTAATTATATATCAGAGGAAATCTCGAGGACTTCTGGGTTGAGGGCTCAATATCATCATTGGATGAGGAAGTTCCTTTGTACATTGTTTAGAAAAGATACATCCTACATATCAAAGTCAGAAGAAAACAAACTTTTACAAGGAAATTTTTCAGGTGCTCCTGGACCCATTCCTCCAGCCTGTCCTTGGCATTGATCTTTCTCGGATTATCTGAACCCATTTTCAACTGGGTTCAACTGACGAAAAACGTTTTAATTGTACCCATTAAGAACATCACACAAATGAACACTAAGTTATAAATTGAATACTTACTTGTGGTTTTGGTTAAAACGTAACATTTCTATACACCGACCTAGAGTCATTAATGATGTATTGATATTACCAGCTTCCTTCAGTCTGTCTCCCTGACTTAATGTTTTACTTGATCTTTCTGAACCGGCCAAATCACACAGAGATAACCTACAAACAGAGGGATCATTCAATATAACATTCTAGAAATTTTGTCAAGGGCAACAACTCTGTGTCCATGATGATGTGTAAGCATTCAAAGGTATGACAATAATACTGTGGACAGCAAGGTTAGTGAGTGTAATCTCAACATACTGAAAGATTTAAATAAAGATGACATCCAGCTTTCAGTTTCCCAAAAGTTTCAATAAATATTGATCAGGCCGTGGGTCAGACCAAGGTCTGAAACGTTGAAACATAGTGGCTTATTCAGTACACAATACCAGGGGAAAAAAAGATCAGTGATGTCGAGTTAACCTATTTCAGACTTCACACCCCCCTGGACCTTTCACACACCAAAATTTGTTTCATCCACATTTTCGGCATGCGATGATGTGAGGTGCTCTCTCAATTCAAAATAAATTCTTCTCCTACACCAATTGGCCACACCCCTGACACCCTAGTCCCACACCCCCAGGGGGTGAAAACACTCCAGGCTGGGAACTGGATGCAGGGCTGCTACAAAGATTTTAGTATAAAGAATTGAAGGTGTGTACTTACATACTAACTCTGGCCATTTTAGGATTACCATTGTCTAAAACTCGGATTATCTTGATGTTAAATATACAGTGACTGGAATATATAACAGATGTTGGTTCAGGTTTTAAGATTTTTAGATAGCCAACAATCAGTCAACAGGGTCAAGGCATGGATGTCTAAACAGAACCTTAAGCTTTGAGATGTTCATGGGATTGTTAAGTGGTTTTGTAGTGTTTGAATATGTATCTAGGCATATAACAAAACACAAGACAATATTATGGAATATAACACACTTCTTTAATAAGGTTGGGCACATAACGTTTCAACACAATATACACGTGTCATCATCAGATGTAATGATGTAATCTTATATGTATCTAGGCACTATTTATACCATTCCAGCTTTCTGTCAAATGCTGTGGTTCCTGTAATTATGGAAATACTGAATAATATGAGTCGTAATATGAAACATATAAATATTACAATCCACCAACCTTCTAGAGGAGCTATGATTAAGTTTGGTACAAGCTGTACTGAGATTTCTCTGACCGATGTTTAATATTTTATACGCTTCATCTGCTGTAGTTACATTGACTTCTTTTAGGCCTGAAAATTTTATTAAAACATATCATTACTGTATACACTAACATGAATTTTCTTTAGTTAAAGATTGGTTTCCTTATTTATTTGTATGTATTAGCATTAAGGGAACTCCTATCGATTTGATAATTGCTACAGAAGTGATATACCTTGTTTCCATCATGCTAAAAATATATTCTTGAACTGAGTTTTTATCCAGAGATCAGAGCCAAGGCATGTATTTAGTAACTTTCATCAGACAAATTGTGGATGTGGGTTCAACATACAATCTCTCTATTTCTTTAACCAGAAACACCCCATAAATATAAGATTTATGCTGATAGACAAGGCTTTGTCAAATCTTGTTGATAAAGCTACAAGATTACGTGTGGATAGATTGGATTTCATCTCACCTTTGATATAAGGACTTCCATTTTTATCATCACTAAGTCTTAAGACTGGACGTTTAGCGTTCTTCTTTTTAGGCATAGGTTCTAGTAGATCAAAGATCTGTTCATTATAAATCTCGGCAAAACTACACCAGATAGAGAATCGTATCTGGCCCTGGTCTTCTACACTTATCTTAGTTTCTTCACGGATTCTGTTTTCTATATCAAAAACATCTACGAGAGATTCTGAAATAGATAAAACAATAGTCTCATCCTCATGTTTTGAATCAATCTGAATCTAATATAAGATTAAAATTTGGGGTTTTTTTTTCCCCCCTATTTTCCTTCTCCATTATAATCTAACATGCCAAAGTCCTGGTATTATATTTTCATCCAATCAAAGCAAGTCATATATGAGATTCAAAGCATACCTTTAGATTCTCTATCAACTGTAGACATATTAGAACTCTCGCTACACGTTGTTGTATTACCCTGAGATATATCAGAGGCATCTTCTCCTAGTAACATCATTACATTACTGTCCTGGAAAACAGCAGGTATACATAAGGTATGGGTACACTAACAGAAAAACTTTTTCAAACTTCATGCGCTAGGATGTCCTAGGTTCTTATCCTCATCACGGATTCTAGGACATCCTAGCGCTAAGATTGTTTCGAGAATACGTGACCCGACTTGTATGACAGTGTTATTAATCCCAGAGGTTGTTTCACCAGTCAAATTTATAGAGGAGCTTGTCAATAACTTAAACATACTATTCTAAATAAATTCCAAGTGAAGCAAGCAAGAACGCAAGCAATATTCCTTTGACACTGTCACTGCACTACTACAAAGAATAGGTCAAGAATCATTGTAATATCAATGGACGTTTTGCAGCTGAATTTCTGATATGAGAATGAAAATGAAAATTCTTATATTTTTTCTTATTTTACTGGCATAATCATTAGAAATAAAAAGACCCTTACATCTTCAAGGCTCATCTTCATGATTCTCTCTTTAATTTTCTTCTCCATTTCAGCTTCTTCTGTGTTTAACTTGGACACATCCATAAACATCTTGGGTTTTAACGTGATACCATATAACTGTTTATTGTTGATACTGTTAAATAAGACATCTAAAGCTCTGGGTAGGATACCAGCATCTGACTGCTTACCTAGAATATAACAAGTTGGAAAGTTGTATGTGAATAGGCACCACGGGTTTGAATCCTCCCCTCCTCTAGGCAAGACAATTCTGAGAGTTTGCAGAATATCTTAACTGTTATTCCAGAAAGTTATCATACAACCATTGTAAATAACATTCAAGCCAAATAAAAGTTTAATTGTTATGAGTGTCCAAAATATAGAATAGACCTACATTAACCAGAAAACCTTTGCAGCTTTATCCAAAAAAACCTTTGCGGCTTTATCCAAAAAAACCTTTGCGGCTTTATCCAAAAAAACCTTTGCGGCTTTATCCAAAAAAACCTTTGCGGCTTTATCCAAAAAAACCTTTGCAGCTTTATCCAAAAAAACCTTTGCAGCTTTATCCAAAAAAACCTTTGCAGCTTTATCCAAAAAAACCTTTGCGGCTTTATCCAAAAAAACCTTTGCAGCTTTATCCAAAAAATTCCATGCTTAGTCTATCAAGAACATTTGAGCACTAGTTCTATAGTAAAATATGATATCTCTCAGTTACTGAGTGTTAACACTGTGTAAAGCCTATATGATATACTAGACAGGGCAATACACTGGCTATATATCACGGCTTCACACTTAAATTTTGCGCAGTGATTGTCATCATTGAGATATCATTTCTTAAACATAATTTGATCCAGGTTTTTCAGACTAACTGTAGCATTTTGAATCTGTTATCATACCTAAGCTTATACATTAGTGTAAAAATCCCCTAATAAAAAACATATATGCTTTATATTAACAGACCAAATTACAGACCAATCCATACATCCAGGGCCTGCAAGCCTAAGACAACTCAATGAATTGCATTAATAACTACATTCAGAGGCTATACATTAAGCCAGCAAAGTTTTGATATTCATCAAAGATTAAAAATAACAAATAAAACAGCCATTATTCACAAGAATCCTGTCTACCAGCTGATCACTGACCAAACCAATGGAATTGATTTTTCCCGAATTGACAGCTTGGTCAACTAGATTTTGAGGAAAGAGTCTCAATTCAGCAGGTATGAAATCAACTCACCTTGTATAGTGTATGTTTTACCAGAGCTAGTCACACCATACGTAAACACCAGACAATTCTGACCATCAATAAAATCACGAACCAAACTCAACATGGTATCATCGAAAAACTCCTTCTGTGTCGTATCTTCGTCAAAAATACGAGAGAATGTAAATTTATGTGATGTCTTGCCTAAACCATGGGCGTAATGTTTGAAGGTGTGAGAATCTTTTGGTGCCTTTGTTAAAATTGTATTATCATCCATGATATCAATACATTCCTGCAATGAAAATATTTTCATGTTAAATCCAAAAAAGAGACAAATGTTATTTTTGCAAGTAAAATTTTGTCCCTTTTTTCATAATTAACAATCTGTCCTAGTGGGGAAAGAGAGTGTTGCAATAAAAATAGCTGTCCTGATGTTGCTTATAAGCGAAACATGCCGTAGAGGCAGAATGAGATGAACCTTTAACAATTGGGACTGGCATTGTTTACAATTTTCTTTGATGAATTTTTAGATAGAAAAATTTGTCAAGCTTCAAAACTACTACAAGATAAACAAAGGTTATTTAACACCAGAACTCACCTGATTCTCTCCCCTTTCTGTTTCTGCGTCAGAAAAAGGGCGAATTCTGAGGTAACATTTCATATGCTCTTCCCCAGCTTCTACATTGGACGAAGATTTCTTGAAGACAGAGGCCAGATTCTTCCTGGTATCGGCAAAAAAATCTGATTCAGTTTCATCCATGGGTTTCTCAAGACCTGTAGCCATGATCTCTGAAAACATTCTTCTATGGCTTGGTTCTCCCATTTTTATCTTGAAAACAAAAACCAAAGTGGATAAAAATAAAGGCGTGAAAGTTTGTGACCTCACAGCCAATCACATTCAATGCATATTTGACTGGCTGGGTCTACAAAGCGCTATCAAACTACCATAAGTAACATGATAACACTACAAATAGATAGTAAGGTAATACTACTACAGTACATGTATCACGTTTGTAACTTGTGTAAGTTATTAATGTAGGGAGGCTATGCTATAAACACTAATAACTAGGCAAATCAGAAGTTTTAAATTGGACAAGTACCCTTTAAGATGAGCATATATCATCATTGAATTCAATTTATTTGTAATCACTCCTTATTTTCCAAACATTCACTTTATTTCAGTAGCTGGTTGATTCAAAGGACTGACTTCTGCTTTTGAAACTTCTGGGCTTTGTTTAGTTCAAAATTCAAATGAAATATGGATAATATATCAAGTAGATCTACTTGTGAACTAATGGTCCAGTATGCATGTTAGATAGGCCCGAGATATCTATATCTTTAGCCAGGTATTTTTTTCTTTCTTTATTTTTAAAAATATAAATAACAATATCGACTCCGCTCCACAACCACAGTTCACAAACAGAAAATTTGTGTCTTTTTTCGAATCATGCTCCCAAAAGCGTGGCTAAAATACATCCGATAGTCATTGCATACTTACTCTTTTGTTATCGTACTAAAATGACATCTGATTTGATTTTGGGAGACCTTTATTTTCTGTAAAGATGATCAAGTTTATTTTGTCGACATCTTTCTTTTTTCATCATTGGCGCTAAGTTTGAAAAATCAACCAATGAATGAAGATTACATCAAGGGACGTTACTCGCATTTAAACTTCCGGTCTCTTGAATACAAACTGAAAGTAGATTATAAAATGTATAAAGTACGCCAAGTTGTCTTCAGATTTATAAGCGGTTCTATGGCAATATAAAGGAAGTTGTAGCTGATTATTCGTATTTTGGCCAAGTCAGGGGCTATAACCTAGATTCTCTCAAATTAGTCGAATTGAACTCTCCCCATTTAGCTTCCACGATTTAATGGGGTCTTCTAATAGACTTTTTTACCACCCGTTGTTCGATTTAACAATAGAAAGTGGTATACAGAAAGTGAACCATCTTTACATACCAAGACTGGTGAACAGACAGTTGCGTTTCTATGCATCTAGTTTGAGGGGGTGGGGCGTGTAGGGTTCACAATCAAGTTATCAAGGGGGTCTCAAAGACATGACATGGCGGTGAAACTCGGCCCGGGGTGGTGTCGTGGCGTGAGTTACTCTATCTCCTTCATTCTTCCAAACTCGTTCTGATCCTGGTAATTGGTTGCTTGGTAGCCATTGGAATATGAAAACCCCAAGACCATTTTATTTACAGAAGCTCCAGGCATGGGAATTTCTTTCGGATAATTGATGCGATTAGCTCAAATTGAGCTCTAGCCTATGGATTGAGGAAGCAATTAGCTTAAGAGAAGAAAAGAAACGACTATATTTTTCAAGGATAACAACTTAGGTTCACAGTTAAAGATCCTTTCTACCCGCTGGTCCTTGACCAGACCTCTTGGCATTGATCTTTTCAGAATTACCCATTTACAACTAGGTCGACTGGAATTATATCAGTACAGATGACTTATTCAAGGTCACCGAACACACTTTCGATCGAAAAGACGAATATGATTCCTTTACAAATCAAGAAAAAGTTTACATTACTCGGTTAGGTATTTTCTTTGTGCAGATCTTTTGAATATCAATAAAATCTTGTTTTTAAGAAATGTTTAGTCGGTTGTCATACAGATATCGACTGATAGAAATCAGACTAAATTGACACGGTTTAAAGGGAAAGAGTTGTCTAATCATTGGCTTCACTTCTGCTGATAAGATTTTAATTTCAACAAACGATAAATTTAATTCCACATGACTTGTTAGCAGGAAAATATAAAGCCTGGGTCACCATGTATACTAATAATTACGCACCCCATGGAAGTAACGCCTAAATTGTCAGGGCGCTTCCCAAGACTGGGAGTACCAATAGGGGACAAGTTGTCGAGGTTCAGACTTAAAATGCTATAGTTCTGTGGAGCGGATTAGGCGCAAGCGTATAGAACGTCCGAGAAAGTTCTCCACAAAGAATATTTTGTGTCAGAAAGACGTCCCGAGCATTCATTTGATAAGCTTAAAGAGGTATGTCATGGCTCATAGTAAGATATGACTTTGATCTATTCAGATTATAAAGCCACCTTCACTTATCACCAGGGACTGGACACAATTTTTCTGGCATGACTTTTGAATGTTGTAGATGGGGAACACTTCAAGGTTTTATTTGCGTCGTTCTGGTTTTCATGTCTGCTGCCTGTCACTCCCGTGAGTGATGTCATACAAAGTCTAGATACTTTCTTTACATTCCTATAACCTTGTAATAATGTTTTAAACTACGCCATGGATTAAACCAGTGATTATAGGGCGTGTACATTAAAGGGACAGATGTGCCATTTTAAGGGGTTGATTTTAGTCTTGAATATATGTAAATGATATTGAAATGTAGCGTATTATAATGTAATATACATACAGTATAGTATACACCTACTAGACAGTGACTGACTACTGACTATAATGACAGTTTTGGAGCTTCAATGTGTGATAACCACAAAGTCTGGTGATATAAACCACTTTTTGAATAATCACAAGAAGTTAAATCTTATCAACAGTTTTATCTTTAAACACAATTTCTCCATTTAAAGAGTTGATCTGAACACATGTACTCCAATATAAGCGTGACATGAATTTGTAAGTCAGGTATGTGGGAAAGGGGCTCAGATAGTGAAAGAGTCTACGAGATACATAAAATGTTCAATGTTCGTTCTGAACTGTTAATCACAAATCTCATTCAAAAACACTCTGGATTTGTATCGCATTTTGTCTATTTTCTGTAAACTTCTCTTTGAAACTAGTTTTTTGTTTTGGCACCATTGTTTTATGTCGGTGATCAAATAGTTGTTCGGACCAATACCAATTGGCTGCAGGCAGTGCAATTCCAATACCAGAAGCAGTGCTGAGGTAGTAAATCTTCATTTTTGTTTTTAAACTCTGTATGTTTTAACAACTTTTGCTGATCTATTCAACTGTTTATGAAACTATGTACATAAAAAACTAATTGAACATTATTCGAACTGAATGATTGTTATTGATATAGATGTAAATATTGAACACTTGAGATTTGATTGATTCTCAACAAACTGATAATGGACTATACACAAACCCTTACTTCTGATCAAATTACAATATAAATATTAGGGCTTGATAGTGTCACGTAACTAAGAGCAATACTTCTTAAGATGGTAACTTCTATACTTCCGGTTGTGATTCGATTCCACTCTTTGGATATTCATAGCCTTATCAGTGGCCCAACTACTATAAGGACTGATTGAACCAAGTCCACGGGCCCCACCCTCAGAACAAAATTGAAATTGTAAAAAATATACCAAAGTATCTATAAGGTTTACACACAATATAAAGTGGTTCACAACTCATGTCGGGCCCTATATTAAGGGCAATATAATACACTACTGAATGACACTCTTTAAATCTTCCATTAACAGGCATTAAACTGACTTACAGAGGGGTCTCAAAATTCAGGTGAAGAAAGCACATTTCACAGTGGATGGGTCTCTACCCACTTTAGTTCACGGTCCTCCACTCATCTATAGTTGAGCCACTGAGCATTATAAGAAGAAGGTGTTTCCACCAACAAAACCAGAACTGTAACACTCAACATTCCAAATATATTCCACAAGTAAAACTATTATGTATGAAACCCTTTGAGTTTGTGATATTCTTCTATGTATTTTGTATTTATAATTTTCAATAATTGAGTGGGGCAGGCCATCTTCATGTCGGTAGAAAAGCCATTACATAAATAATATCAGAAAACACTTGTAGATGAAAACAAGAATGAACATAAAAAAAAAAAACAAAAACACACCCCCGTTACAGAAAATTTTCACTGTGCTAGGTTATATTACTATAATGTACAACCTACATGGTTCTTATTGGAGGCCTTATGAAATATTTAAAACATCTGAGACATTGTCGTCTGTTCGTCGCCATCTTGGAATCAATAACATCTAATAAATAGATAAACAAAATCATCTGAAAGAAACATATATCAATGGTTGTTTACACAACAAAGTATTGTCTCCATGTGAACTTCCTGCCACACCGACTTCATATTGTTGAGCATCAGAGCGCGCTGCTCCAGTCGTCTGAACCATCACAGCTTCTCACGTCTGCGTTTTGGCGCCTTTGACTAGTAGGCTTTCACTGTCTAAGAATTCTGCGGACTTCTATAAAGTGATCTGCAAATTTGGCACAAATTTGAATCGGGGGAGAGTCGGTTTCATCAACTATAATCCAACGGTCGAGATAACTTCATTCTTATTTAGTATTCGGTGACAGAATAAACAGAAAAATGGCAGATTTAGATATGGTCAATCGAGATCCAAATAATCTGAACAACCATCTTCAGGTGAGTACTTATATTAGAGAAATATTCTGGATATCATGGAGTTATCAACTGGCAATTCGAGTAATGTATATGTCGTCAACAACGACCGAGAGAGAGCTCAATTTCAGCTTTACATTTATAAAGCTATTTTCAGAATCAGACTTCAGAATCTAATTTACTACAAATTCAACATAAAAGTGCTATGTAGATTCCAACTACAGTTATATCCATCGATAATTAACCATCGATTCTCTTAACTTTAGACAAACCAGATTTGAATTTTCATTCTGAAAAGGGATGCTGAAAAGATCTATCATTCCAAAAAGCATCATTATAGACAACTATATTACTATTAAAAGAACGTGGTTAAGCTCGATATTTCTTTAAAAGAGTATAGGGGAATTTCATTTCATTGCACACTGCATCGTGTTATTAGTCCTATAGCAATGACCCCTAATATACCGTTATCATTTCATTCACGTCATATACCTTCATCCAACAAAATGAAAGACGTAATTTCATACCATTTTAGCAGAGGCCATAATATGATATATCGATATACATTATTTTTTATCTTTCCAGATATGTTTCGATGACGTGATTGGTGAACCTGAAGGAGCTCACAGTGCTGATTGCGTCTTTCGGAATTCATACAAGTGTTATAACGGCGGCAAAAACTGCTGTTACATGTTCCTCACGTTTCTGTGTGGTCTACCACTAGCCTTATGTTGGGGATGTGAGTTCGCGATGATCACTTTCCAACACGTCTGGCAGATTACACCATGTCTTAGAGTGTTTATGATCAACTTGGGTTGCTGTCAGAAGTTCCTCGGAAGCTGCGTAAACTGCTGTTTGGCGCCAATCTGTGAAACTTGTGGGTTGTTTTTCAGTAACATCAAAGTTTCCAACGCTGCGACAACTTGAATGTCTTGGCAGTGACTTTTTATTAGACGTTTTTGTGACTTCATTAAACAACAACGATCTGTTTCAACTGCAGTCAGACAACAATAATTTTTTGCACTACGGTAACATCCAAATACCAACACATGCAGTTAATAAAGACAAAATATGATCTCAAAATAAAATCGTCTCCTAATGTGCTAATGACCAAGACAATCGGTAGCAAACTTTCAGTATCCATCCTCCAAGATTTACTAATGTCGTTCTCTGTTACTGTATCCGTTTTCATCATTACCTTCGTTGAAAGTCGACAAGCTAAATTTGACTTCAGTATTATGATTTTAACATATTTACATTACTATCTATATGTTTTCTGTTTTCTCCAGAACTTTGTGATAACGATCCCATAAAAACCAACTCTCGTCTCAACTATCTAAGCTAATGGTGCGGGCACACGATCGGTCTTGGTCGGAGATATTTGTCGCCGACTAGTCTTGTCATGAGTTTCGCCGACCGACTATGTCGATAATCAATCTTATGAATGAATCTGATGAATGTCTTGCAGACAACAAAGCAATCGGCGACAAATATGAAACTGATTTGATACTATAAATCTAATATTCTAATATCCTGATCAGCCTTTTTCATCCCCATTGGACCAAACCTGTTGGGATCAGGTAGTATGGAGGTTGAGTGGTTCAGTTCATAAATATTTTTATTGTTATTCTTATATAAAATGAGTTATTTTTTGTATATCTTTTCTTTTCGTAAATGCATCATTCCATGTCCATGGATGCTTGTGTTTAAGTAAACAAATAAATCTTAATACAACAAAATTGGTAGGCCTAGGCGTGTCAATCATGGATTATTTATAAATGGTTTGAGATCTGATATTCCATCAGGCGAGTTAAAAGAATTCTTTTTTGACTTGCTGAATGACCTTAACATTCCAATAAAGAAAAGCCATATAAAAATTTTAAAAAGGACAAGAAAATTGCATCTCTTGATTTGATGACTGAAGAAAACTCGGATGAGACCTTGAAGTATTTGTTCAGCGAAAAAAATGTCTGCCCCGATAACTGTATATTCCGGGGCTCGTAACACGTAGGCCGTCTAAATTAACCCAGTAAGGTGCTGAAGAGTAGAACGTAAAACTCTCATTTCATCTTCATTTTCTAACCTAGTTATGAGATATTTGCCCCGCCATTGCCAATGAGTTTTAATATTAAAACATCACTCCTGCCTTGATAATCAATAAATCAAACATTTCTATGACATGTTTATTCTCTAAGAAAAAAGGTTATTGTTTACTTTCTACGAGGTCGTCTGGTACGGACACTCTACCGGAAAGAGAAGTTTTTAACAGCTTATAGTATATTACCATCTACATATACCAAATTATTTTTGAATCTAATCATCGAATTGCTGCGTATTAAACTTTTTTGTCCATCTATCTTGCAAATTGCTAGAAAAAATCAGTTTTCTGTGGTCAAAAGTAACGTGATAGCATGCAACAATCCGCTTAAAATGCAGATCGTTTTATGATAATCAATTTGTCAGCAATGATTTTAAGACGCAGTGTCATGAACATTGTGATTTTTAATTTTTTTTTATGTGTATCGGAAACACCGATAGCATCAATTCGCACCATTCCAATTTTCAATCCCACTAAAACTAAGTGTATGTCACTGATAGGAAAATATGCCTGTATAACATAAGACTAGTGACGTCAATCTCTAAAACGTCAATATATCCATCTTATTTGTTATGAAGAATATTTGTTTATCTGCCTACCAACACCAAGTCTTCGGACAACGACATTATGATATACATAAACTATTAAACTAATATTTCTATTCCGGTTCATCTGGACACAGACAAAGACCCTCCTCGTGGTTGATTGGCTCTGTACAAACTATAGTTATTATAGATATTGATCAAATCTGATCTTACCGATTTCTCTACGCTACATTATTATTTTTTCAGCTCCATTTGTTTATCGATTATTTGATTAAAATATGAAAGTAATCATGCAAAATAAAAACTTAAAAAACAAACAAAAACAAAAAGTCTTTCAAGTAGTAAAAAAGAAAAGGAGTCAATTTGTTTGAAAAAGGGATGGAGACGACATTATGACAAAGACGAAGGAGGGCAATTGGTATTTAAAAAAGCAATGTTCAATGTATGACACCCTAAAGAATCTCGGAGCATTCTGACTCATGGACTATCCAGGTATAATATTAGATTGTGCTTGTTACCTTTTTGTTTGAGGAAATGAGTTGTTATCGATTTGATTTGATTTGAACATATCGAAATTATTTTTTTTTTATCCTGACACGCAAATCATACATAAATAATATAGTTATCTATTCATCTAGTAGAAAAAAACATCAACATGAAAGTTTTGAAGAAGCGGAATTTCCGTCACAATTGATTTTTCATTAAGCCTATCTTACATTGTCCTAGTTAATCTTAGCTTTTTCATTTCTGTATGAGGGGCACAGGGTATCAATGTCCCCTAAGAGTTTTCTGACCGGGGGTGGGGGACGTGTCCACCTGTCCCCTCCGTGATCTGCGCGCATGGGCCTTACACACAACCCTAATCCACTCGTCTCATGACACTAAGAAACCTGTAGAAAAAAAAACTCGAAACAGAACATCATATATGGAGTTGTTTCGATGTCCAAACAATTCTTTATCGTTATCAAGAAACGGGTTCTTGCCTTTAAAAGTGCTTTCCACTTTACAACTATACTTTCTTCTACCTAAATAAAAGTATATATGCATGTTGTAGCATGACCCACTATTACAAACTGTTTATAGTGCACTTATAACTAGAGGTAATTGAAACCTTGCATGTCACTTTTCAAAGCTAGAGATTTATATTTAGCAACACAGTCAATTCCCACAATGTTTCATCAAGATTGGGAAAGTCGTTATTGTGTGTAATTGTGTGTTATTGTGTGTTATTGTGTGTTATTGTGTGTAATTGTGTGTTATTGTGTGTTATTGTGTGTTATTGTGTGTAATTGTGTGTTATTGTGTGTTATTGTGTGTAATTGTGTGTAATTGTGTGTAATTGTGTGTTATTGTGTGTAATTGTGTGTTATTGTGTGTAATTGTGTGTTATTGTGTGTAATTGTGTGTTATTGTGTGTAATTGTGTGTAATTGTGTGTAATTGTGTGTTATTGTGTGTTATTGTGTGTAATTGTGTGTTATTGTGTGTAATTGTGTGTTATTGTGTGTAATTGTGTAATACTATAAAGAAACATTGTGTTAATAACCCTCTCTTTCAAAACGGGAAATGTTTTTAGTAGCCTAAACTGGAAAGAAAACAAGACGCAATGAGAGGTAGCCCATTGTTAGAACTTCTCTCCATTGATAGCCAAGTTCTCTCCATTGATAGCCAAGTTCTCTCCATTGATAGCCAAGTTCTCTCCATTGATAGCCAAGTTCTCTCCATTGATAGCCAAGTCCTATTATTTCAGATGGGTAAACGTCGTAAACGATTTAATTCTAGACAAATTAGATGTCTCTAGGCAGCATATTTCAATATTTTAACAAAGCTTTTGATAGAACAGAAAACACAAGGGAATATATTATGGTATAACGCACTTCCTTAATAACAAAGTACATAACATTTCAACACAATTTACAATCTTCATTTCTTCCGATGACTACACATGTAAATTGAGTTGAAACATTATGTACTTTATTATTAAAGAAGTGTGTTTTACCATTATAATTATATTCCCGTGTGTTTTCTGTTTTATTTGCTTTCAGCTTCAAAATGTCGTTTAAATCTTATCAAAGCTTCCGTCACACAAATACACAGTAATGTCAACCCTTGTCACATTTTTTCACACATTTTCTCAGTGTTAAAGTTTGACTCTAAAAGTATCATAAAGAACGATAGTCAAGATATAAGCTTTGAAAATAGATTATATTCCATTAAAACACATGAAACATCAATCAATGAAGACATTTATTAAAAAATAACTTGATGTTATTCACCTCAAGGGTAATTTTATATTCGTTATAAGACGTAGTATTCCTTTAAAGCAGTATGTTCCCAGGAGATTTCTACATTAACCAAGGTGTAGCAGATATAGCAACTACGACTAGAACCGAATCAAATAGTTACCAACGATTTACCTTACCTATTCGCGCGAAGAGATAATTTAGAGGGCAAATGATGCCAATCTCTTGTGACCTTCCAGATGTCCCGGAAACATTAGGAAAGGTTTAATCGATTCACAATCACGATTGCCAGTTGTGCTGTAAGGAAAACAAAAATCGGACATCTGAAGAAATTTTATTGAGTCATATTCACAATGTCAAGCCGTTACGAACTTCGTCTTATACTTTGACTTTAATAGTCACCTTTCTTGTTTCATGGATATTGGTAATTACAGCCAATAAGAGCCGTCGACACATGTTCCGGAAAAATATGGCTATTGCAGTCGAGGTACAAAGACGATGTTTGTAAAATCTTGACATCTTGAAGATGTCTTTAAGCGGGAGATCAGCTTTAACTAAAAGACTTGTTGCGTTGTATATGGTTTGTTTATAGCAACATAAAATACAGGTTATACCTACTAGAATAAAAACATCTTGTTGGAAATCAAATCAATCTCAAAAGACCTTTTAAAAATTTAGAATATCTATCTTTAAAAAGGGAAGGTGTGGATATCATAAAACACCATTGAATGCTCACGTTAGAGCAGTGTCGAGCGCTAAACTAAATACAGTAATCTTTATCTTAATCTTAACGTGTGTCATCTTTCTAGTTACAATAAGCTCTACAACTCACTGGTAACCCGAAGGTCTAGGGTTCATTTCCGGCATTGGTTGAGATAATACCTTCCGACTTTTCATTCCGGTTTCTCCATGCTCATGATGCATGTTTTAGGGGCTCAACTTAAAAACTTATGGCATAAAAAGGTTTGAAGAGACACATTTTCAATTGTTAATGATCCGAAAATTTTTTTGGCATTCCAGGAATATGTTACTTTCATGTTTGAGATGAGGTGGAAAGGCACCCAAAATGTCAAACTGTATCACTCATTTTGTATTCTAATGCATATTAATATATCACAATGTATTTCATCGACATGTTTCAGCAGATTTCACCAATCCCTTTCCAACTTGACCACTGTCCCGACTTCGAGGTCATGATTTTTTAATTCTCAAATCAATAGTCCAGTTTGTTTATTCTGTTGCGTGTGGAATGGTACCTGGCCTGAACATGTTTTTGAGGTGGAACCGTTTTAGAATGAATTAATCAATAAACTATAATTGATTGACTTAGTTTCTATAAAAATCAATGAATCTAGAGTTGGTATTTATTTAATGACGTCCTCGGTAACCATGTCTAAGACTATAGGTACTTGTTGCTCTCACACCAAACAAACTGAAGTAAAAAATATAAATAGAAAGGCCAGCGTAAGCAGTTACAGGGTTGGTCTGATTTGCCAATGATTTCTCATTTCGCTTCGTGTTTTATGGATCATGGATTGCAAGTGGAGTCAACCTCAGAAAAAAACTAAAAGAAACATTGAGAAACGATCATGAATTATATTGTAATTCAGCTATTGCAGTCGAAATTGGCCGATTGACCCAAAAGATCGCTTGGAGTGATTGCAGGTCTGTATATTTCTGTGAAGAATGTCCTCGACAGCATAAAGCTAATGTTGATAATACAGTAGTTCGACGTTTCTTTGTCCGAGTCCTTGTATTTTTTAACCTGTAACAAGATCCATAATCGAATATACGCGTGTCAGTGCTCCATATATCATTCAATTTGTGAATTTTATTCAATAAATTACATGTTCTTGATTGGTTATTGTTAACGTTAACATTAAATCTTAACCAAGCATATTATGGATCTGATTAAAATATAAATCTGAATCATAACGTTCTCATTTTTTGAGTGGGTGGCGCCACTTGCCATCTGTGATCTGACAAAATTGTTATGCATCTCATATTCTGTATCATTTGATATTCAACCAATCGAATGCGCTGAAAAAAGATTTCCTGATTACTGTTAGGAATTGTGGGATATTTATTGTCTAACCACTTTTAACTTGAATTATGACAACTTTTGATGCTATTGGATAAAATGTTCACATAACACAATATAAAGAAGAGTCTTGACAGGTAACTAATAGCAACTATAGTAATCTGCAGAAAAAAAAACGAAAAATGATACAGTAGATTTATGATACTATCACAACAGTTTATCAATGAGGCACATGGGCATTTTATCCCCACCCTACCATAATTACATACATCGTGTATTTTATTTCAAATATAAATCACGTGGCCTGTTTGAACCAATCAATTAATTCGTGTAAAAAGATTTTGAATAAGATCTATAATGTTTTAGTTATTGGCATGGCGTCTTCAACAAAACAAAGTAGTTACTAAGGCCTAGATAATGAAATAGAGCTTGTCTAATACAGAGTAGCACAGTTCTGCACGGACGACAGCCTTCGACAGTCAACTTTGTTTTAAACCAGTTCTAATACTCAACAAACCAGCATCATGTCTGACGATGGCCCCGATATGGAAAACAGAGATCCTAACAATCTTAATGATCACGTTAAGGTAGGTACCGACTTTCACTTCCAGGAATTACTCTCAGACTAAGGATGAGCTATTATTGCTCACGTGGGACTCTCAATGAGACTCTTAAGACTCATGCAAAATGTTTGATTCTTCTGGACGAGAAGGGTTGAAGGATTGACCTGCCGAGTTTAAAAAAGCACTAGACAAATTACTGCTGTATTTTCGCGGTGAAGCAAGACTGGGACAATAGTTCGAAATAAAAAAAATAACGGAAATAGCGGTCAGATATATATGATGATTTATTACATCAAAAGCGACATAATACAAAACTTATATTAACTATATATGGTATAATTTAAATTATCAAAGGAATACGTCACAATACTTTCAATATAAAATCTAAAATCATCCGAACAAACCATGAACTTGTCATCACTTATATTAAGCATCGTTGTATGGGGACAATATTTTGTTTCATGAAATATGAATTGGAACAGACGCCTACATTTCCCACCTACAAACCCATTTTGAGCGCAGAGAACCACAGTAACTGTATGCAAGCATGATATACATGATAACTATACGCATGTTCTGGAGTAGATCTGTATTGTAAGAATTTTCAATACTCCCAGACGTATTTGGTACTACCGCTGTCATATTGGCAATAACTTATTGATCATTAAGGGGTAGGGCTGGATGGCCCGAGATGACAAAATCTTCCAAACGTACAGGGAATGCGGTCTACGCTGTCATATTACCAATAACATATTATAACGGAGGGATAGGTCTGCATGGCCCGGGTTGATAAATCTTCCGAACATACGCGAGCTTATCACTATATTTAGTATGATAATTTATGAGAACATGTATATGTATAAAATTTAACATCAAGTACATGTATTTGTATAAGTTATAAGTCAGTATAAATAACGATATGAAATTACATCTGCGTGTCCTAGTATTTCTATAGATAAACCAGTTGCTTGATTCATAGGGCATGGTTGGAAACTAGCTGGGTCGGGAAATTCGGGTTGAGAACAAAGGAAATTTTACTTAACTTAAATTCAGAACTTTCAATTATGGACCAAAATATGATGCTAAAAGTCAAATCTATGTAACTTTTTAAAACAAAATAATATGACTTTATGGCATAAACTAACGTGACGTTATGGCATAAACTAACGTGACGTTATGCCACAAACTAACATGAGGTTATGGTACAAACTAACGTAACGTTATGACACAAAGTAACGTGACGTTATGGCACAAAGTAACGTGACGTTATGGCACAAACTAATGTGGCGTTACTTTACAAACTAACGTAACGTTTCTTTACAAACTTTTATGACGTTTCTTTACAAACTATTGTGACGTTATAGTACATATTATGGTGACGTTATGGCACAAACTAATGTGACGGATAAAACAATAATAAATATCATGTTATTAGTATTATTAATATGGTGTGACATTATGCCACAATGTGAAGTTACGGAACAAATAAATGTGGCGTTATAAGACAAACTGTGGTGGCGTTTTGGGGTACAACTGGTGTTGCGTTATGGGACAAACGAATTCGAGATAACTAATAAGTGTCCCTTTAAAATAAGTACTTCAAAAGTCAAGTGATATTTCATACAAACACTGTAAATTCAATTCTTAATTGTTCTCTAGGCTAAAGTAAATATTCAATTTGGTGATCGAATGTTAAATCTACTCAGTAATATGATATCATTCATTGATTCATTCATAGTCGTTGTATCTAATTAATGTGGCGTTATGAGGAAACTCATATGACGGTGTAGGGAAAACTTATGTGACGTTAGAAGGAAACTAATATGACGTTAGAAGGAAACTAATATGACGCTATAAAGAAACTAATATGACGCTATAAAGAAACTAATATGAACCTATTTGGCAAACTAATGTGACGTTATTGCACAAACTAATGGGACGTTATGTGACAAAATAAATGACGTTTTCCTTCAATCATTCAATTGACGCGCAATTGTCTGCTATAACTAGATTGAAACATCACCAGTACGTCTGACAAAAAAAAAAATAATAATGATTACTAAACGAAATTGTAATCTGTTCTTAATTAAACTGGATTATATCAAACACTTATTGTAGAAATATAGAGAAAATGAAATTGGAAAATTAAGAAAAATCCTCCATATCTGCTTTTCAATAACAATGACCAGTGTTTACACAATTTCCACACCTGAGTATTTTCAATGTAAATTCAATAGACTGGAGACTATATTAAACCAGAGCGTATAATCTGATAACAATACACTGGGCTCATGCTCCATACAATACAATATATAATAACTAGACTTGTATTATATACAACGCGACTATATTAATACAGTTTTTATACACTTATTCTGTCTATAATCCCACCCTATGCATTCAAGATCAATGTATTGAAATCAGTTGTGCATTATCGATCTCCTTGACTCTTATTGATTATTGATTTAGTCCGCCCTTGTCGATATATACTTGTTAATAGTTAATAGCAAAGCGCCTATTCTAAGTCTTTCTATTGAAAAAATCGAGTACATCTCCCACAAAGGAAAATATTTTGTCGTTGTCAAGGGTTACTTACAGGTTACTAACAACTCATGTTCTGGTTACCAAGGAGAATAAAAATAAAACACCTTTAGTCCGATATTAAATTAATTATAGTGAAAAATTAAACATGAAAGGTGGGATATGTAGGTTAACGTGTTTTACTTCATCAGTCAACTAAAATAATTGTCCAAAGATTAAAGAATCAAAGATTCAGAAGTCTCAACTATTTTCTCCTAATTCCAACTGACATAAAACACTACCATAAAAGATTCTAAGAAAGCAAAAATTTGAAAAATGACATAACCTTGGAATGATTCTTCTGATATTCCGATCCTGAAGTTTCCGGGATCGCTATAAGCTTAAAATAAAAATGTCTCAATGCTTAGGTCGAAAGTTGCTTTACTTCTGATCACAGAAAACTTCCATTGGCCAGTGTTAAAACTAAAGATTATCTTTAAACATTGCATTGTAAATTCAACATGGAGCGTGTTTCAGTATCTTAATATACACAATGTTCGCAATGACTCAAGAAAAAAGGAAAAAAACCTGGTTGTTCGGATGGCAACCGAAGCCCCGTACTGTCAAGATCCATCGTCATTTAGAAATCGAAAGAAAGAAGGCAAATTCCGCTGTCCTGGAAAAATTTCCCTTGTGAAACGGCGAAGGTGCAGTAAAGTAAGACTTAAAACTCCATTTCAATCTATTTAATTTGTATACTTGTAGGTGATGTTTGAAGATGTTTTGGCAGAACCGGAAGGAGCTCATAGTGCCGATTGCGTTTGGCGTAATTCATATAAATGTTTCAACTGCAGCAAAAACTGCTGTTACATGTTCCTCACGTTCCTGTGTGGTCTACCACTAGCCTTATGTTGGGGATGTGAGTTTGCGATGATCACTTTCCAACACGTCTGGCAGATTACACCATGCCTTAGAGTATTTATGATCAACTTGGGATGTGCTCAGAAATTCTTCGGTACCTGTATTAACTGTTGTCTGGCGCCGATCTGTGAAGCTATGGGATTGTGTTTCAGCAATATACAGGTCAAGAACAGTTCATAAAACCAAAACCATCGGCAACCTTATCTACTTCATAAAATTCAAATATACAACTAGGATTTTGATTGGTTGTTTGTAAGCCAATCACAAGCGTGGATAAGGTTACCGGAAACTAATCGCCAAACGTGCAACTGCTCGATCGACACAGTATATGAATGGGATGTCCATTCCTCAAATCCGTCCTGAAATTCCCCAATCTATGTACAAGTGCTCATATGATAAATTCTTCTTGATATTTGGACTTTGGAAAATTTCTTTGAACATTGTGATTTGGACTGTCTTCAACACAGTAACACAGCAAACCGATTTATCAAGGGTGTTATCCTTTAAATTTGGGCTGTAAATCTACGTGTTGCCTCAACTTTGGATCGTCTATAAGCATGGTACTAACGTCTAACTAAATTTTCAAAATATGTCTAAATTGTGCTATAATATGTACATAGGGTGTTTATATACAAATGATATTTATATTTTCTATTTACTATGTTGTTATTCTTGTTTTAGAAGTTAAAAGTCTTTAGTTTCGACCAGTAATCGTTATTTTGTAAGCTCGGCCAGTAAGTGGTTATATTTCAACCGTCCATCTACAATTCTGTGATAAAACTGTATATTTTGAGTATTAAAATTTCTTTTCCGTTTCATTTCGTTTTGTAATCGCACACAAATTTAAATCAAAATTTAATACAGGGAAGATTGGGCTTGATTTCAAAAATTCAATCGCTGACGACAAGAGCACAAGACAGGCATAGCATCCCAGAGACAAACTGATGCAAGGGATTAGGGGGTGGGGTGTTGTGCCAGCTTGCCCTTTCGCCTTTCGTATTCCAAATCGTGATAACGTTGTACAAGTGATTAAAAGGATTGTAAAGAAGTTTTCTGGCCTTTTAATGTGTATCGGGGACACCTTTGATTTCTATTTTGAACATCCCAGTTCTTCGTCTGCAATGCATCTGGTTCCTTCAATTCAATAAAGAGTTAACCGGAAATCACGCAGCGCCCGCAGAAGAATTCGTAACCAGCCTACCATCAGGTAACTCTGGAAATGCAGGAACCACGGACATCGGACGAAGAATTGGAATGTCCCAAATAGAAGTCAAAGGTGTCCCCGATGCACATTAAAAGGCTGGAAAATCGCTTTACAATCCTCTAAATGTTGAAGTGGTATGAAGAAAAGATGTCATGTTATGTCCCTTTTTAGCAAGAGTTACTTCCCGTCTTGACAGACAAACATTACAGGACATGAATAATAAAACATGGCTCGAAATTACTATTTTGGACCTATCCTCATCCATGATTGGGACCCAACCCCAAATCAGAACAACAACATTAAACTACATTTAATTTGAATCCACTAACCCTGAGAAAAGCTATTCTAAATAAATCTAAGGTTGATAGACTAACTCATAGATCGTTCTATGTCTACATTCTAGATCGACGTCGATGTCTTTGAATGCTCTCAGAACACCACCTTCCGTCTTTAAAAACATATTTTGACGGTCTTTAATCTGTTTGATCAGATTATCCTGGAAACATAAATATCATGGTTAGTTTAAACACCAAATTATCTCAACATTTTCGAGATTAGTCTACTAAATACAACTTTATCACCACAGTGGCGCTTGATTGGTTTGTTCTGAACAGGTTCCGCCTGTTACAATTCTAACTTCAATCGAACAGTAAGAAACCGTGTAACATTCAAAATTTACCCTTCTTTTCTTTTCTCCGCCATTTTGAATTCTGTCTACGCTTACTTGGAAACAGTAGAGGTCATGCGTTCTGATCACTAGTCCAAATTGCTTTATTGCACTTCCGATTGATTCCACGAAAACCAAACATGCAGAACGCGAGTCGAGCGCCACCTACCCTCTGTTTCTCAAAGGATCTTCAGATAAGAATTTACCGTTTAAACTGATTAACGACAAACTTAATCATAAGATTTTTTGATAAATCGGACTCGGATAATCGATACATACAACCATGACAATTCCCCAATAAATAAAGAATGAGTTCTTGCTCACTCAAACCGGAAATAGATATTCAAACTGGAAATGAATACCAAAACCGCTACGCGAGTACGAAAATGACGTCATAACTTACCTCCAAGGTACTCCTTGTTTGTATATTGTAAAATCTTTTCTCAATTTCATAGGTGGTATGTAATAAATAACAGAAATAGACATCTCGGATTAACAAAACATGCTGAAAGATAATGGGTGACAACTCTGTATAAAATATGCAAACGATCCACTAATTGAGGCAGACTCGGACCACAGTAAAATTCTATAGTGTTTCATCGTATGTCATTCTGAAGAGGCAAGCAACTCCGAAAATATACAAGGGGCGCTTTTATACACATGCTCAGACCATAATGGTTTTTCTGCAGTACTTTAGACACTCTCTGTTAGACACTCTCTGTTAGGCACTCTTTAAGTAAGGCACAGGGCATTTTAGGCATCACATTTTATAGGCACGGCGATTAAGGCCCGTGATAATTAAGGAACACTCTTTTTTAATAACACCATAACGAATCTATATAGCTTAATTAAACCATAAAAGAACAGGTATATCTCAATGACTGGGCTTAAATAACGATGTGCCCAAACGGGCTGTGCTTAATTGACCGAATGCCTAAAAGAGTCTATTTAAAATACTGTGTCTAACAAATAGTAATATGCTGCCTAAAATATTTGTGCCTAAATGACAATTGATAAGCCGTTTGTTGTGACCTAGAAACGTTTAGATCTGAGTAACTAACACTAAGTGCTCTAGGGTCAGATAAAGGGTTATCTATCTGTACTACGAACGATTCCATGTGAACGCGGACCTATGAGGAAGCATCCACAGCCTGCCATTACATATTATTGAAATGAAATACATAAATAGAGCTTTGCGTCCTATTTTTCTGCACTTGATAGGGCTTATGAACATGGACAACGCCATGCAGTGTGCAATGGTATTAACCTTCTCTTGATGACCTTGAATAATCCACTCATAATTCCAGTCGACTCCGGGAAAGATCAATGCCAAGAGGCTTTGCCAAGGATCAGCCAGTAGAAAGAATTTATGTTTTCGAGTGATCTTTAATATGCGCAGGTTGTAGCACACGGTGTCTCAATATTGAAAGACACTTACAGCTGTACTGAAATACTCAAATGTGTAGCCGGCATGTCGGTCTCTCTCTCGGCCTTCCAAATATGGCATTACCTGCGCCTGAAATATTATTACATATGGTTTCAAATATAGCTTCAGCCGGTCATCTTCACAATATCACGAACTTCGTACTTATACCTTGACTACAATAGCCACCTTTCTTGTATCATGGAATGCAGCGATTTGATCGAATTGTGAGGCAGCGAATACAGCCAATCAGAGCCCTCGCCAGAAAGGCTTTAAATCCGATACCGCCACCATGAACAAGACAATAAATTGAATTTTATAATTTAAAGTTATCGCATTTACACATGTAATAGAATTTTGAAAAATCCACATTTCGAAAGCTCAAAAAAGCTTAATACCACTAATCAAGTTTGCGACTTTTTTGTAGGGGGTGGCTGGTGATTTGAGTGTTGAATATATGTAAATAGGCTTACAATAGTACCAGTAATAGTATAATTCGTTTAAAAATATTTCAAACTATATAGGCATTTTACTAACTATTTCTATGTATCACTTATGTTTTAATTTGACTCAGATAATTTTCGACGGTGAGCTGTGAACACTATTACTGATTGACTTAGCTAAAAAAAAATTTTTAACCCAAGTATTAGTCAAAAAATGGCGCACCTGTCCCTAATAGCATAGATAACTAAAATGACTTACGGATGCCATAACAAGTAAAGTACAAGCGATGAAAACTCTCATGATTCTAGATGACGACTAATAGTCCTATCACAGTGAACAGTAGCCGAGATTATTTCCGTTTCATACAAAATTCTGATAAAACAGATAAGAAATATAATATGGCATAATTAGAATTATCTTCACAATGTCAGGCTATTACGAACTTTGACTTATACCTTGACTGCCATAGCCAGCATTCTTGTATCACAGAGATTTAGAAATGCTGTGATTTGATTGGATTCTACGCCAGTGAATACAACCAATAAGATGCCTCAATAGAAAGTCTGTAAATAATAAGCCATAATGATTGCAGTCTTTATGTCTATGGCTCTGATTGGCACAGATGTACAATTAATTCGCAGCATTCCGTGAAACAAAAAAGGTGACAGTCAAGGTATGAGCCGCAGGACTAATAGCTTTATATTTTGAAGATGATTTTTTAGAAATAATTCATGCGTATGTTTTCTGCATGATTGCATCTTAGGCTAAATTACGCCGTGATAAAATTGAAGGCAAAAACAAAGCCCCGAGTTATTTCCCATGAATTAGTATATTTAGAGTCACGTCTTATTTTTACATAATCAATAAATATATCTATTGCTCTGTGACCTTGGCCAGTGCTTTCATTGAGACTCGTCTCAATACACCCTAAAGTACAAGGATAGAAATCAGCAATTTGTATGTTTGTGTTTGTCATTTCAACCCAAATCATACTAACTAATTTTCACATTATTAATAAGAGTATCTATTGCTCTGTGACCTTGGCCAGTGCTTTCATTGAGACTCGTCTCAATACACCCTAAAGTACAAGGATAGAAATGAGCAATTTGTATGTTTGTGTTTGTGTCATTTCAACCCAAATCATACTAACTAATTTTCACATAATTAATAAGAGTATCTATTGCTCTGTGACCTAGGCCAATGCTTTCATTGAGACCTTAATACCACTAAAGATTTGATGCAAATGATAGTATAGGAAGTTAATCCGTGCTACCAGTTTAACATGAACAGAAATCATGACGTAAGTCCTTTCTCCTTGTGTTCAACAAATTGTAGGTTTTTGTTAAAGTTGTGAAATCACTTTTGGTTTTTCTATTTAAAGGGACAGATTCGCCATTTTCGGGGTTGACTTGAGTGGTGAATATATATAAATAAGTCTTCAGAAGTACTAGAAATGTACCAAAAAAAAATATCCCAAACTACGAATTTCTTTATATGTCCTTTCTATATATGATAGAGTCTCGGGGAAAAGACGAGTCGTCTTTTAAAACTTTAACGGGTGACGAGAGCGTACCTTTAATGTCAGTAGAGGGAGTATTCCGTGTTTTATCAAAATTCATTCGGGCCTAATCTTGTTTTATAAGCAGGCTGTTTTCACTATGAGCTTTATTCTACCTAATCATTGTGACTATCATAAAATATTCCATTAATTCATTGTATATTGTCCCTATATAAGAGATGCTTCGTCAAAAGGTTAAAGATGCCGTAGCGCCTGTGACGGTATTCCTAATATTTTATTGTTTATCCAATTTTACCCCTACTTTATTTCTTACAAATTTAAAAGAAATGATACTATAGCGTCCTTGCTTGTTTATATGTGTCGGAATGTACATTTCGACAGGACTTCCGCATAATGAATCTCAACCTTGTCAGTTGTCCCCCTATTTAATCATTCTGTCCTCTAGGAAGGCTGGCGCCCCAACTGTAAAGATGCCATGACTTCTTTTGGGCTCCCTCTCTTTTTAATTAAACAGTTATAGCCCTGTTATTTTCTATGTTAAATAGCAATCTGGAATCACGTTACTTCATGTCACAAGAAAAATACTAAGGCTGACAAGCAAAACATTCAAATTCGATGTGCAAATAAATAAAATATAAAAATTGAATATCATTTAGCGTACCAGTTGATGTTTTCTATGACGTCCGCACTGGGAAATTAAGAACAAATACTTATAGTTTAACGAGTTTTATACTTTTATTTAACAAAGCAACAAAGAAGATAACAACAACCTTTCATCGTCTGAAATATAACACAAAGATATGTTTAATACATCTATAAAATTATTATAAGAGTTGGGTCATCGAACACAGCCAAGTCGGATGGTTAAACAAAATGGCAACAATAGAACTGATACTCATAAAAGGGCAAGAAGACCTAATTTGAATCACGAGTAAACATATTCAAAATAAATCTAACGAAATCAGTATAGTATATCAGTAAAGTTTGAGGTTATTGAAACAATATATAATGTAAATCAGGTGCCCATAAGAAAATAATAATAAAGATTTTTCTGAAACTAATAGATACATTTATTGAGAAACCAAGTTTTGTTTATCTGTAACCAAGATCTACTAGCTAAGAAAAGGGGAAGGGTAAGAAACAATTTCTGAAACAACTGACCTGATTTAGATCTTAAGGTCCAACTCATAGATAGTTCTATGTCTACATTCAGCACCCAATAAAAGATCGTGGTATTGTTTAAGGGCATCGAAGCCTGTTTCTTTGTGTAAATTGCTGGTATCTTTGACGGCGGCGATGACTTTGTCCTGGAAATGATGAAACAAAGACAATGGTTTGAGCCAGTTTCATTAGGACAGAATTTTTTTCCCACTGGCCAACGATAAATATTAATTATTTATCTACTTAAACTTATTAATATTTTGATGTAAATTTGTTTTAAATATTAATGGCAATAGATAGAGTAATCTCTTTGTTTAAATGTTTTCAAATCAGTCAGATTTTCACAATATATTCACCATAACATAAACATTTATTGCTGCTTTTAGACTGTGATTCAAAAATTCTTAATTTGTAAATTGTTGGAAATTGGTTAATTGGCAGATTGACTACATTGGCGAAAGAAATCATATTCCTTTACCATCCTGTATATAGGCCTATCATATTTCTGCAGATTTCCGCAAAAAAAACCTCACACAATTTCTAAGTTTCGCCCCTGGAATTACAAGAGGAGTTAGGCAGTTCTTGACTAAACCCAACCCATTACTTACTTCAAGAGCATCTCGAGAGGATTTATCGTGGTATTTGTGGACAACATCAGCACTTCCTTTAAACAAGTAACAGTTCTTGTTGTCTCTAACAACCATCACGTTCTATAATAGAAGATATCATTTATGACGTTTTCATGGAGTATAAGATTTATCAAGGGAAATAACTGTGAAGAGCTGGACTCACTATTTCATCTGGCAAAATAAAAACTGACTGATAGACTTTTCTTTTGTTTCGCCAGTTTTGGAATCTTTAATTTGCAGCATCCCGGCGATGACGGGGATCCCTTTTATTCCAAACAGTTTATACAGGATATGACGTTTAAATATCCCAAAGTAAGAATGATGCTTTATGGGAATTATCTTCTCATGAATAATGAATGTTTGACATATTGCTATGAATGAATAAAATGTTAAATGAAGATGGGCACCACCATGCAGAGTGCAGTAAAGAAATATTGTCAGGACAATAGTAGCAGCGATGGGCTCTTTAAAATATACAGCCTGCAGCAAACCGGATGTGCCACGATTTGTTGCTAAGGATACAATGACGGATACAATGGGTCGAGGAAAATTCATACAAATCAACTTACGTGTCTGGAGTGGTATTGAAAGTAGTAACCATTATGTCTGTCACTGGATCCTCCGTTCCACCAGGGGAAAAGCTGGGCCTGCAACACAAATATAGTCAAAACAGTGTCGTTATGAATTTATGTAGACTCTATGAGTAGCATCAAGTGTTCCGTACGGGTGGGCACGCCCTTCATGACTTGCACTGATACTTATTTTACTGAGGCTCAAATTCTATAAAATCTTCTGAATAATAATAATAATAATAATTCTCAATAACTGTCGAGAGTAATTGAAGACCACCGAGGGTTTAAGATCCAGATGAAGAAAAAAAGGTTATAACAATCAGTTAACTTACGGAAGCTACAACAAGTAAAGCACAGGCGATCAAAGCTCTCATGATGAAATGACCAATCTTTCAGAATAAGTGACAAGTTACAAGTCCATTTAGTTTTTATACTTCTTGTCCGTGGGAAGTAACAGTTGTTAGATATCATGAACTGGGGTTTAGAAATTAAAGTTCTACGTTCTACTTTAAAAGGATAGGGATAACGACGATAAACAATGCTATAGTGTGTGCATGAAAGGTATTTTTGCCAGGACAGTCACATCAAGGGGATTGTAAAAAGTCATTATCAATAGGCTTACCATTCCAATTTTAGCCACACGTCTATGAGTTTTGCTATATCACTTTTACCTAACGTTTATGACATAGCATAGCTATAAGACGTTCTACGTGTTACTTTAAAAGATTGTATAAGGAAGATTGGTATTGCTATATATGTGTGTGCATTAAATGGGCAACACTCGACAGTTTCAGGAGTTGGTTTGCGCCTTGTATAGGTAATTAGTCTTCTGAACTGTACAAAAATCGCACCATGCATTCAAATATAAAGGTTATAAACAGTTGTAGAACGTGCTCCATTAAAATGAAATTGGCTCGGGCAGTGACATTTCGATTTTTCATGCAAAACTTCGCATGCAACAGGACCTCGGTCCATCGTACCTTCGAATGACCAGACGATTTTTGAATGCAGTATATCTTTTTTTGTAATGAATCTTATTGGTCGTACATTTAGTAGCTGGCCAATCAAATGTAGGCTCACTTGATCAAGGTTTAAATCAGGGTTAGATCCTTTCAAAGGTGAACATATCAACTTCAGATGTTTCAACCTAGTTTACCCTCGTCTGAGGTGGAAGTTTTGGTATTTCAAAAGGGACAATTAACTGAGGTACAACGCGCTTCAGACTGTGCATGTTAAATATTGTGTTACATTTCGGGGAAGGGAGGGTTTGATTCTCCCAAATGTACAGGCATAGGGTGGAGCAGACACTTTATTTAGAAATTAGGATTAAGGGTGTTGATATTGGGTTTTCTTCTGTTCTTATTCTTATCTGAAATTAGAAAAAATAACTCGCCCGATGGACGAGAAATATAGTATCTGTTATGTACTGATTGTTTTTAGTTTACTATGATTATCAATATTATCATTTAAGTTCTTATTTTTTGAATATGCAACTATCATTTTCTGCTTATAGACATGGGGGAATTTCTCTTGAAGGTTCTTACAGTGGGCATGAACTATCTTGCTTGCTCGATTGCTGGTTGTATTAATCGGGACAACAAAGGGTGCTATGCCTACATTATGATGAATATTTAGTCCTATAGGTCTTGCTGTATTCAATGTCTCAATCAAATGAGCTTCCCTAGATAGACGGAATTTGGTAGTTTCATCTTCGGGCAAGTCAATTTCTATACGCTCAATTGGGATTAGAGTGAGATCGTCTATTGAATGGTCGTCGAGGTTGAAATGATTAGAAACAGGCTTGTCTTTCTTTAATTTGATGTCTGACCTATGAGCTTTAAAGCGAGTTCGTAAATTATTCTTAGTTTCTCCTACATATTGTTTGGGGCATTTCTTGCATGAAATTAAATATATTACATTCGAATGTTCACATGTTAGATGTTCCTGGATCGGGTACCTTTTATTCGTAGAGTTGCTTACAAAATAATGAGTTTCTGATATAAAGGGACATGTTTTGCATCTACTGGACAAACATGGAGCACTTCTTAAACCTGGAGGTACTTCGGCATAAAGTCTGTTTTAGCTGCTATCTGTGCTAAGTGAAGAGAAGGACAATAAGCAAGCTTATAGTACTGACGAGGTACAGTTTTCCTCTATGAAAGACGTTGTCCGCCTCTATCAAGGCCAATCAAGTGCAGAAAAGTGGGGCATACAACTGCGTTTCATTTCCTCTACTGTCTTGAATCTTGATGGTAAAAAATGACTGAGGATCAATAGAAAGGAACTTGGTAAAATTAATATTTTGAAACCAATTTAGGGTAACATGTTTTTGTCACGTCTTACTGCGTTGGCGAATATTTCCATTGCCAAAAACGTGAACAATCTAATAGATATAAAGATAATAAAACCTGGACCAAGAATTTCCCGATAATGAACTGCTATCTTGTACGATAGTTCAATAACTTGGTCTTTTAATCCCAGTTTTTCAACTCGATAAGCACTTAACATTTTGTTGGTATAATATTGTGTGGGGTGTTAACCGTAGCCAGACTTGATTGTTCGGAGTGACAAGTAATATATCTGGAGGGGAAAGTAATATATCTGGAAGGGCAAGTAATATATCCGGAGGGGAAGTAATATATCTGGAAAGGCAAGTAATATATCCGGAGGGGAAATGGTGTATGGTGTTTATGCAGTTAGAGAATTGGTTGGTTGTCAGACGTTTTTGCGCCTCTGTAGTTACTGGCCTGCTACCGTTAGGTCTTTTTTTCAATCTTATGCTAGAAGGAGACGAGAAAGCCTCTACTGGTTTAATAATTTGACATGGAAAGTCATCATATTGGAATTGGTTGAGTAAATCGACAAACTACATGACTAAGACGAATGGCACACAATAACACAATCGTTGCCGACCTTCTAATTTATATAAGGCAAGACAGGGAAAGTAACACAATTATATCAACAAATGTTTCATTAAACAATTATCATAAATATAATAAGATTTTATTTTTTCTTTTATAAAAAGTGGTGCTTAATTCTGTTCCTTTAAATAATCTTTTCCTTGGCATATAATCAAATTTGTTTCTACTATATCTTAGTTTACAATAAGCAGTTTTATGATATGTTCGGTACAAAAAAGGATAATGGCTTTGCTGGTTTGGAATAACCTTATATATCATATATCAAATAGTAGGATGTTTAAACAGAACATAGATGTATTGGTGTTAACCAATCTGAACAACTGAATTGAAGCAGATTGCGATCGTTCAGCTCGACGATGAGATACGAGTTTTGTTAATTGCTCTCAGATTTTGTGCGTTTAAGTGTCGCCCTGAGCTTCGTAAAAGATATTTTGGAATCTTATAAAACAGTACATCTGAGAGTTTAACTATGTCGATGTAAATTGAGAAAATCAGACTGTAAACTTCTTACGAAATTCGTGGAAAAAAATCTTTAAGTATTCAAGTCGATGTCTTGTAAAGAAACCCAGAAGCCATCGTCTTGTCGTTCGTCTCCCATCTTACACAGGCTGAGTCTATCAACGGACTGAGATCCCAGCACCCCATCTTTAAAATCACTGTACACATCACTGATCTGAAATCTAGATCCCAGCCTTCGTGAGGATTCTTTGCTCACTTTCAAAATGGTAATGTGAGGTACGAATCCATAATTGTCCCTAATTGGAATACCAGCATTCACGAAGCATAGCTTAACATAGTCCACGAAATCCAAAAACTTTTTGGGATATTTGATTTTGGCGTAAACGGTTCGGTTGTAGAAGTTGTCCACTCCAGTAAGTTTCAGCGACTCGACAGGTCGCATTTTACTAAATTCGTCTTGACATTTTTTTAAAAGTTCACTGGCTTCGCGGATTTTATTTTGGTCATCCAATCCCAGCGTACATAGCGTGATGTGGAAACACGCTGGAGGCATGAACCCCGATTCCAGTTCCGGTTTATTAGTTTTAACACATGACTGGACGTCCGTTAATTTTTGGACTGTTTCTTGATTATCAAGACGTATAGCTATGAAATGAGTAGGACGTTTGTTCATGTGATCGAGATATGAAGACGTGTTTACAGATGTCGTATCCAAGGTAACAACGATATCGTCATCACTGTCGCTATCATCACTTCCGGTAACGTTTTGTATACTTCCGTTATCATCATTCGTACCCTCTGCAGTCTCTTGGGGGACATAATTCTTGATAATCTCAGTGATTGTCTTGCCGCTGCCCAAAGACCCGAACACGTTGTCCAATTTTTCGTTTTTGTCCCAAACCTTCAGGTCTTTATATTTGAAATACTGTATCCTGTGTTGTGGGATAGCTAATACATTATAATCGACAGTGGCAATATCCTCCCACGAAAAAGCAGTGAAATATTTCTCTTGAATGCCTAAAAACCGGTCGATGTAGCCTACGAGGAAATCTTCTTGAGGTAGATCTGGATCCCATTGAATTCTTTTAATGACGTCTTCTGAAGTTTTCATCGAGGCTTGTTTCCCTTCCGGTTCCTCGTCCACTGGTTTCTTCTTTTGTTTATGCTTCCGGTTTGACGTCGGTTTTTTCATCTTCGTTCCACGACCCAGACTTCTTTCGTTCAACCATTTTTCGGCGAACTGAACCAGTGCCTTTATCATTGGTTTATTTAACATAGTTTTTGCCTCGATTATCAAGGCGTCTACTAGATCAGCATTATCATCATCGTGGAGACTGGATGATCGAACAGATATAGTTGGAATGAAACCTGGATACGTCTCTGAAAAAAATGATATGTATCAACAATATAATCCTAAATAACTACAAGCTTGGTCTTGTGATCCATGGTATGAGTAAGGAAGCAAATCCAAAAGGCATCAGACGAGGCACAACGTCATAGTCGAACCCTTAAATTTTAACACAACCCTAGTAACCCACCTCCACTCTTCCTTACACTGAGATCGTGGAGCTACGAACATGAGCCACCAATATAACGCATCAATAAAAACAAGTACCTGTTATCTGAAATTTGATGGTAACGTCCATATTTTGAGGCTGTATAGTGATAGAGTGGGTAAATTTATCTTTTACACCATCAGTAACTCGACATCGACCAGTAAACTCAGATTTGATCGAGTTTATCTCTTGTTGTTTACTGTTTCCCTCCATTATCACTTTTACCTGCAATAGAAGAATAAACATTGTTTTAATAACGGCTTTGTAAGAGGGGCTGACATGGAAAAAGTGTCTAGTCATTCGGATGGAACAATAAACCGAGGTCCCGAGAGCTACAGGCTCTGCACGTTAAAGATATCTCGACAGATGGAAATCGAAAAAGAGCAGGCTCTTTAAATTTTATTTCCTATTTTAAATGGTTATGTAAGTAAAGACATCGGAGAAAGTCAGTATTAAAAGGAGTTAAGACAACAAAAAATAGCAACCGTGTTTATTAACCATAGAAAATGTAACTGCCAGTGTCTGTTAAGTTTTACCCAGTATGTTCAGAAGTGACGTGTCTTTTGCCTTTCAGTATAGTTTCAGTATATGGACGGCTGTGATAAAGTAGTAATTGTAGCTTAAGTGATTTCGATAAGATTGAGTAATCCCCTGAACGGACTTGTTTATATATTATTTACTATACCTACAATCTACATATTGATCACCCAGTTATAATAACTGCCCTCGGATCTCTTTTCCTTAGTGATACTTGAAGACAATAGTTTCATTTTTAGTATCTGAGCATACGAAAGTATCATGTTTAATTAGCAAAGCGAATGCTTGGTACAATGACAGTGTCGTTGAAATAGTTGCTGATAAATCAAATACTAAATATCTAGATTCGCATTATGATTATTTAGAGAGAAGCAGACGAAGTCAGTTACAGTATAGCGATAACGTTAGTAGGCGTGGCTTCAATACAAGCAATGTAGTGAATTCGAATGAGCAGTAATAGAGAAATATCAATTGATGGCTTACCTTGTTCCTAATCAGTGACCTTTGATGAGATATAGCACTGGGAAACGCTGACCAGGTTTATATAGGTTTGACTATTCAACAGGTAACGACATGTAAACAATAGAACCAGTCTTCCTTGCTATCCGTGGTGCAAGAGAAACTGTCATTTTCTAATAATAGTAACACTAAAAATAGATTATTGAAGGGAGGCTAATCTTGTTTAGAGCAGACCACAACTACTGATTTTATCAAGGGCAGTTTATTGCATTTATTATAGACCACAGTTGATATCAAACTATATTTATAAGGAAGTGAAAATGAAATGGTGTTTTACGCCCTAATTTTCTGCATCCGATTGGCTGATTGGTATAGTGCAGTGTGCAGTATGGGAAATTAGCTAACTCTTTCTGAATTTCCAAATGATGAAGGATCAGCCATGAAAACCAATACCCAAGTGCACGATTTGCCATTTTAAGAAATAAGTTGACTGTCCAGGAGTCTGCACGTCTAGATTGAAAAACTACTCGAACTGTTGTACTCTTCCTCACCATGGTGTAATCTACTCTACACCAAATATTTCAAGTCGTAGGTCAAAAATAGGTTTGATTTCTAAAAAATAACTAAATATATTAACCCCATTGACTAATCTACCACCGAATTAAATCATAAAACCACAGCCACCTGGGAAGAGGTCACAGGTTAATTTTGGTCAGTGAAATATGAAAAAGGGGGATAAATTTGAAGAGAAGATGACACTGTCTACATAGCTTTCTTAGAAAGGTAATATAAGCATACATTAGCTATTAAAATTATAGTTGCAGCGGTTGGAGTTACTGCATCTTTTCCGACAAATTCCTCTACCTCGCTGCTGGACGCTGTAGTTAGAAAGCCTTGTCGTCAAAACAATGGAGCACGAATTCCCAAGTTCCGTACATGATTTTGTCTGGACCTCCACGATGACAAAAAACATGGCACAAGAATGAGAAGCAGTATTCAAAAGTAATTTTAATTTGCTCTCTGTGAAGCCCGCGTCGATAAAAGCAAAAATCGTATGCGCTCAACTTCCTGTCCTTATATGAGGCCTACATGAAACGAAATGAATATAAAGATCAGAACTTAAATCCACAAAGAAAACAAATTAAAATCTTGAATAACAAACCAACACAAAAAACGATTATAATCCTCTCCACGATAGTTGACCTTTGAACCATTTAATCTGTGATTTGTCTACCATCAATGTAACTGACTGTGAACTGGACAAAAAATTCTCAATTTCAAGATGACGTTTTTAAGGTGGGCCGTGAACTCTTTGGCGCGGATTTGGTCGTCTGCTGTGAAGGTGCAGACGAAGACTGATATAAATATAAACATCTTTTAACTAAGACATCAAAATCAAAAAGCTGTCGTTCAGTCGAACTCATCATTCGAGGAACACAAGTGAGAAACTGTACTTTATTACATATTTTAGTGACAAAGTTCATGTTTTCGTTTTGATGATTGTTGAACTGAACTTCGTAGTGTGAATTGTAAAAATCACAGTTTTAAACTCTGCGGAGTTGTGAAAAGAAAAAGGACTTGTCATAAAGACTTCCTGTTTTCTCTGTATTATATATACCAGTGCTGAACATCCTATCTTGTTGTGGATTGTGGTAAACGTTCCGATATCCTTGATGTTATAAACAGATCCTGTTACGTGTTTGGTTCATCTGAGATCGCTGAAACTATAGAACTATCAAGTTGGACATTTCTGCTTGATTAATCAAGGGCACAGTACTCCACTGATATCTTGATCTTGAAAATGAGGTTAACATCGTGCTTGTTCTTGTCGGTGTTGATGGACATAATCGGTAAGTAATGCTTTCTTTTCTCTTTTCTGTTCACTCATATTAATGGTATTGTCTGTGTTCAGTGGCGTGGTGGTGCTAGCCCCCTCCCCACCGAGACTAGATATACAAATAGGGGACATGGGGTGTGGGGAAGGAGGGGTTGGGGTATTGGTGGACAAGCCACTTGTCGCAACCTTCTCATGGACATTCAGAGAAGGCTCACCCAAACCTTTTTCGAAAAATTGAATTGATTTGGTGAATATTTTGGGGCAACATCGTTTTGAAACAATACAGTGGAGGTACAATTCGAGTTTCAATCAGACGTCTGTAGTTCCTGCAATTCCACTAAAATATAGTGTTTGATGACTTCACTAATCGCGAAATAAGCTTTACCACATAAGGCCCTAGTGACGTCAATAAACACTCGATTTGAGAGGAATTGAGGGATCCACAGACGTTTGATTGAAAATTGAAATGTTGGAAATTGATGCTATCAATGTCCCTGTTACACAAGATACTTTTTAGAAAACCTCTTTAAACCCCCTTTAACTCATTTCTTCTTGTAGGTAAACTCGATGGTGCCGCCATCACTTCCGCCAATGGGAATACTGGTCTAATGGCACAAGAGTTTAACCAAGAGATGGCTGAACTTCACGGTGCGGGGGCACCACGACAACTTGGGGTAAATGGAATGGGTCAACATAATGAATTTGAATGGCGAAACACCCAAGCTGTTGGTACGAAAGGAATCAATGGTCAACAGTTTTTTGGTGAAAATGAAAATGAAGGCATTGCCAATGGGAATGGTGTGAATGGAATGGCCGAGCAGGAGTTCGGGGAATTCGAAGGACCGAGAGCGTTCCAACAAGTGTCGACTGGAAACGCTAATAATGGTAACTGGAATCAGAAAGATTATGCATGGGGAGAATATGGATGGGAAGAACCAAATCGATGGAAAAGACAAGTCGATTTTGAAGGTGAAGGACGTAACGATGGATGGGAAGGAACCCGGATGTTAAATGCTGACAATGGTTTGGAACAATGGAATGAAAATGTCTTGGGTGACTATGGTAACGAAAAGAAGAAACGAGCCACTAAAATGAAAGATGTGAACCAATGGGTCATGCGAGGAATCAGTCATGTTAATTTTGCTGATATTGATTGGGCAGGACAGATAGCTCGAGCTATTGCCAAGTGGAACCGAATGCAAGTCTTAGCTAACACCAAGTCTAAGGCCAGAGCAAACAATGCTGACGAACTAGCGGGCTGGCAACAGGGTACTGCAACAACTGATTTACCCATCGGAGATCCAGGAACACTCATCCCGACGACTGGTGCACCAAGTGATCTTCCACCCGTGCAACAGGGTGTAGCTGTAGGTACTCAAACCTCTGATGTACCCATCGGAGATACAGGAACTCTCATCCCAACAGATGGTGGTACAGATCTTCCGCCTACCACTGCCACCGGAAATGTTATGGGTGTAACTGACAATGGTATTATTGATGTTCCCGTAACCACGTGGTCACCGCGCCAGATTGCAGCTGCAGCTGATTACACCTGGGGTGATTACAGGCCTGGCGAGCAACCTGTCCAAGAACCAAACGACGGCATCGACTATATGGTTGACAATGGACAAGATCCCGAGTTTCCTCCTTTTGCAGCGGTAATGAAGTCACAGGGAGGTGATTGGCAAATTGATAATGGTGTTGCTGGAGAACAAGGTGCTGCGAATGAATGGGCAACAAATGACGGAAATAGGGCAAAGAATTATGATAACAACAACGCAGATTATGGTCAAGGAGGCAACAACCGAAATAAAAGAGCGCCACCTCGAGTAAAAAGCGTGAATGAATGGATTCTTCAAGATATCAGGAAAGTAAATTTTGCAGATGATGACTGGCTAGGACAAATCGCCATGGCCATTGCAGTTTGGAAACAGCGTCATGCTGCTGATAAAGTCAAGGCATTTGCTGTCGATTATGGTAATCCCACTACAGATACAACAGTCGATATGAACACCCCCGGTGATATCCCATTGCTAGTTCCCGTACCAGTTGATTTAAACGCTGACATACCCGCAGTTGCTGCCGCTACAACTATCACTAACGTACCTTCAAGTATGAACATAAACGCTCCAACATTTGAAGGACCAACGACTCCAGTAAACGTACCAGCAACAATCAACGCATTTGTAGATGATCCCACATTAGGGGCAGTGAATGTTCCAAGTAGTGTAAATGGTAATACACCAATAATTGTTTTACCAGCTGTACCTGATACAACCTTATCTTATGCCAATGCTGCTGAAGATTTTACTACAGTTCCTACTAGGAACATAGTGGCAGCATACCCAAGCTTTAGTGCTACTGCAATGGAGTTCACTAATGAGGTGACAGGTGAGAAGGGCTCAATGACCCAGAATTTCCTAGAACCAGCACGATTGATAAACACCTATACAGCTGTGACTGACCCTAACCCAGAACAAACCACAGGTCAGGATTACGTGGTCACGGATGGTGTAACTATGGATTTGAATCAGATCAATTTTGATGCTCCTGTCAATCCTGAACCATGGATGGCTGACGCTAACAAAGGAGATTACGGCTGGGGCGACTATGCTTGGACTGAAAACAGGGCGGTGAAAGTGGACCAATGGGGGAATGAAAACAACGCCCAGAACAACGCCGATTATAATTATGGGGACTATACTGGACAGTCTCAACTGAATGGTGCAGATTACATTACTAATGGACAAACCATCACTCCAGATTATACCGGCGTGAATTATGCAACTGTAGACTATACGAACGCTGGTAAACAGGTACAACCAGTGACTGACGGAAATGTGCCAGCTGGGCAATGGAAAGGGGACTTCAATTGGAAAGATTATGGCTGGGCTGGGAACACCAATGATAGAAAAAGACGAGAGGTAGAAAATGAGGGCTGGTGGGACAAACGCCAGTTAAAAGGAATGACCAATGGCTTTGATTACCAATTAAAGAGTGGAAAAACGAAACGAGCTGCCACCATCAATGATTTGAATAAATGGATTATGAGCGATATCGACAAAGTGAATTTCGGTGATGATGATTGGTTGGGACAGATTGCCATGGCAATAGTAACTTGGAGAGAACGGGCAATGGCTGAAAGTGGTGGACAGATTGTGACAAATGGTGATACACCAAATCCAATAGATAATGCCGATAATGGTGCACAAAATGTCCTACCAATTGACACCACAACACCGAACCCTGGTTGGAATGGAACAACAAATCCTGCTGTCGATACTATACCAGATTTACAGTTCGGGACAGAAGCATCGAGAGCCTTGAATGCTCCTAACGATGCCAACAATGTTGTTGATGAAGCTGATACACAGAAAATCAAGGCTCCGCGAGGATTGAGAGGTCCATGGAATGCAGACTACGTCCCTGGCGACTACAGTTGGGGAAAACCACCCCTGGTCAGTCCACAGAACATATATAATGGAGACTACAACTGGTTGGATTATGCTCTTGGAAATCTGCTGGATACTGGAAACCAGGGTGATTATAATTGGGGTGCTGTGGATTATATCGGTCAGCAGCCGACAGTTCCTGAAATTCAAGCTAATCCCGAAGGAAACGGGGCCGATGTTGGCTTTGAGACGAATCCTAAGATGATGGACGGTACAAACTTATTTAATGTAGATTATGGGAATACTGATTATGGATTTGATGGTCAGAATCAGGTTGTTGAAGCCAATGGACAGATCAAGGGAGATAAACCTGTAGCTGACACCGGAAATGTGAAGCAGGTCGTTGGTGAAGTGAATCCAGATTATCAAACTACCACTGGTGGAACCGTTCGTCCACCGGATTACCAAACGGCCACTGGTGAAACGGTTCGTCAGTTTCAAGAACCGATAGGTGAAATGAACCCGGATTACCAAACGACAACTGGTGGAACCGTTCAAATCAATGCTGGTGATCGACCTAATGCTGGTGAGACTAACTGGCAGGATAATGGATGGCAACCTGCCAGACAAACTGGTAATGCAAATTGGTTGGGAGATTTCAACTGGGGAGATTACGGCTGGGGAGGGAACACCAATGACAGAAAAAAGAGAGAGGTTGAAAATGAAGGCTGGTGGGACGTCCGTAAACTGACAAAACCAATGAACAATGATTATAGTTGGACCGACTATGGATTAAGCATAGAAAGGGCAAAGAGAGCTGCTACTAATATGAAAATTGCTAAAGCTGTGAACGAGTGGGTGTTGAGGGACATTAACAACGTTAATTTCGCAGACGACGATTGGCCGGGAATGATAGCTCAATCTATTGCTACATGGAAAAGACATTTCATTAAAACTGGACATAAACCTCTTGGCTTTGACCGAATGCCACACGGAATAGCAGCTACTACAAATGGTGCTACACCTACCACAAACAATGGTGCAATGGCTGTCGCAAACAATGGTGCAATGGCTACTGCGGTCGATGGTGCAACAGCTACCGCAAATGAAGGTGAAGCCACTACCATCAACGTTGTATCAACTACAAATGGCGTAACATCTCCCGAGATCGATGGTAACAATGCTCAAATAGATCCGTGGACACTTGGAACTACCAATGGACCATTAAATGCTGCAGTAGATGTATTAACCGATAATGGTCCTGATGGTGCTGTAAAGATGGCAAATGATATGTGGAAGGATTATGGTGTGACAAATACTGATTACCGTGTTTATGTACCGGAAACCACGACTGTAAAGATGGCAAATGATATGTGGAAGGATTATGGTGTGACAAATACTGATTACCGTGATTATGTACCGGAAACCACGACTTTCACTTGGTCTACAGACACACCTGTGTCAAATGCAATAGACGACACTCCACTTGTAGGAGAATGGAATAAGCAAATAAACTATCCCGACTGGAATGCCGAAACTATACCTGAAACAAATGCCATAGATGGTAGTCCATTACTAGAAAACTGGAAAAGGCAAATAAACCAAGCTGGTGAAACTGGTCAGACCATACAAGCAACTCCAGAACCAACAGCAGCAATTGCCTATCCTGGTGTGGGCGATGCTGTTAATCCGATACGACAGCTTAAGGGTGTATCTGTGGATGCACCAACCGGAGACAGTAGTGTTGTAGAAAACCCTAATATCATCATTGAAAGCGACGGAGTTCCAGACCTAACACAGAATAGTACCACCAAACAGCAAAACAATGGAGGACTGGAGGACGAACTAAACACAATCGATAATCCTGGAGGTCTTGCAGTAAGAGCAATTAACGCAGCAACCAACACTCAAGCAGAATCTCAAATTTTGAATAATCAGAGCAGTAAAACAACGGCGGTTGGTGATCAGCGTACTGCTACCATTGCTGATACAGACCCTAACCAATCTTTCACAGATGCCCAGATTAAAAGGCTGAAAAAGATCGCTGTCGGAAATGGAGTAAATGTTGACGGAGCTCCAGGAGATCTTAATGAAATCAACTGGTTTGATTATGCCGGTTTCGGAGAATACGAAGGAGGAGTTAGACAACAAAATGGTGGATTTTTTGAAGAACCAGCTGTACAGGGGCTAGGAGCTGAAGCCGGAAACGCTGAGATGAACGATTATAATTGGATCGATTACGGCAAAACGCAGCAGTTTATCGATTACGACGGACCTGGATTGCAACAAGGAGTAGAAAGAAATGCCGAAGGCGTTCCAAACGAACCCGATTTCAACGTATTTGAACTTAATGCTGCGGGATTCGTGGACGGCCAAAATGATCTTCAGAAACTTGAAGGAGGCAATGAGCCATGGCAACCAAGTGGTACTGTTTGGGCGGATTATGGCGGTAACCGAATGAAGAGGGAAGTAGACCAAGTAAAAACTTCTGGAAGAACCAAGATGACGCCTGCAATGAGCAGAAATCAAAGAATTGTACTTGTGGAGAATCTTTTAAAATCAGCGCTGATGGGTCACAGTGAAGATACAAACAGGAATCATCATCACATGACGACCACTCATCAAACCACAAACAGAAAAACTTTGAAAACGATTGGAGATATCGGTGCTAGAAAAAAATGGCTATCCAGACGATTAGCAGCTTATAATGTTTTAGAAGGTTTACCTCTCAGACGATATATTGTTCCAAGCGAAATCGAGAATTGGTGGACCAGAAAGCAAATCAATGGCGGCGGGCGGGAATACGGCAGAAATAAGCGTGGCGTATTTGGACATAAAGACGTCGGTCATGACGTCAACAATGTTGACAGACGTATTTCGATGCCGGACGCTCATTTTAGACAGCATGAATTTTCCAGTAGCTTGCTTGGTGGTAAAAAAGCCTTCAAAACCCAGTTTACCGACGGTTTTGATGGACATCGAGGTAACATTAAGGATCAAGGATTGAACAACGGAGTAATCTTTTCCAAATTCCATACTAATGATATAAAAAGATCCACGAACGAACCAATTAATCCTACTTTTGTGACACTGGGATCTTTGGTCGATGAGGAATCTCCTGTGATTAATAATGATGTGAATTTTAGAGCAAGTGCTCCAGCAACAATGAACCCTAAACCGGAAGTTAAAGAGCGTGTTGCTAAGGCATTTGTGAAATCGAATGAAAATGTTCAAATAACCCATAATGTTGACTTACCTAAATACTTTCCTCGCCAGTATCGGGACAAGACATTGGGAAATTTGTTAGATGTACTTAAGATTGGTGATGCCGGACGAGGATACATTGAAAGTGTTCAAAACAATGGGGACAGATCTATCAAGAATGTGTGAATTTAGTGTCGTAATGGACAGAAACAATGAACAGTGATTCGAAAGTGTTGAACTATTTGTGGGAAAAACTAAGGAGCTTTATGGACAAAACTTAAAGGGAATAGGTCTGATTATCGGCTTCACTGAGAGCATTTAATAAAATGTCGGGTTTGTGTATATTTGAAACAGCTTCAAATTCAAAGTTGTCAATACCGGAATTAAACTACAGGTTGTGAAGAAGTGAAATTTAATGTGATCTATAAAGAGGATCTCTACTAGTCTAGCACTGTTTAATCAGAAATCACGAAGTTTCCAATGAAATACAGATAATAAATTGCGATTCTCTGCGTGTTTAAAACACTCTGTCGTTATTAAAGTAATGGCTTACAATGACAATAATTTTTACCCTTTATTTTGTATTTAATTGTGTTTTACAAATTGAATAAAAATGTTAAATTAAATACAAGTTGTTATCATGCATAACGCATCGCTCCGGATGAGAAATTGGATAAAAATGTGGACTGAATTTAAACTCGACAACAGTCATTAAAGATTAAGCTATCGCTGTTCACTCACGAGAGGCATTTCAATCCTCGTCAGCTGAAAATTGAGGATAGAATTCCATGCCACCGTGTTGTCGAATTTTTCCCCATTGCGAACTGCGAAGTGTTGCCAGTTGTCCAATAATCCAATTAGTATCGGAGAATTTAGACGTCAAGTTCCATTGTCATTTCCTTTTGATGTTCCCGATAAATGATTATCCAAGCGGAATAATATTAATAGGGTTGTCTCCCCTTAATCTATGCTATGAATATTAAAGACTTGTATGAATATAAATGATTTAGTCAACCAGTTAAAAACTTATACTGATCTACAATAAATTGTATAGAGAAATAGTAGAAATATCGACCATCTTATAGATTAAACTTTTAATGGGTAGGGTTGTTTCTCCGTGTTTCCTGGATAGTTAAGGGTGGTAGTGTAATCACTGTGAATTTCAAATCAGTTAGGGGAAGAGAGTGTATGTGTATTGGATGTACGTTTTTAATTCCTTGATATAACAGGCCGAGATTTTGATCGCTTGAACTCACTCACGGCGCTCTGCCACGGTCAGGTGAGTGGGTGGGTTAGATTCCTATATGGTAGAATGAATTATGATATTTAAGCATAGCTGGTTACCGATTTGTCGAGGGTTTAAGAGTAGGTAGCCAGCTGATGAATAACAACCCGACCACAGTGTGTACGGTTGAACAGATAGCTACTGTTTAGGGATGAAGGGTGATAAAGGTAACAGTTTTTAGCAAATTTGGGAGACAAATCTAAAAGGGTTATTTAACGTGAACATTCTGTAACAAACACCATACGGAACTATGTAAGGTTCTTACACGAAAATAACACAAACAAACGTAGTTCATAGCCATTTTGAATCTCTTCCTCGACTTAATACGTCGATTTTTGGCTTTAAATGTGATTTGTAGGCTTTGTTTTAACGTTGTAGTCTTTTTAAAAGAAACGACGTATTAAGTCGAGGTAGAAATTCAAAATGGCCGTGAACTATATTCATATGTGTAATTTCTGCGTAAGAATCATACGTAGTTTAGTTTATAACAAACACATGACAATAAAGATAATAAGCTAAGACTATCAGTACAGTGACTAGAATAGCAATCAGTGGTGTCTTTCCGTTTGGGATAATTCTTATTAGGTCTTATTCAGCTATTACTTCCCCTGTTTGAGCTAACGTTAAACGCGTTGGCATATTATACTAACCGATCTCTCAATCGTTATGTAAATCAGATGAATAAACGATTTGGCCTTTACTTAGTGTAGTGATTTGAACTAAAAATAGCCTCAACTCGAGATGTTAAAGAGTTCCTGTTATCGTCAACCAGTGCCAACTTTCTCGTGGCGGAAATGACGATTTACTAGTGTTATTTACTTCATTATACAGTTAGAATTGGATATGATTTGATGTTATATAAAACTTGGAATTTATCCTAATTAATAGGTACGTTATTACTTTTTAGACTTTTGAGTATTTATAGGAGAGTTAAACTACTTCCAGATTAAAATTTCTTCTCCAAGACTCTCATTCGAGCTTTGGAGTACCAAATGTGAAAATTTCATTAACGTTGAGGCACACCACAATAACAACTATCGTGAGACTAATGAGGCAGGATTTGCTTACTTTTACGATCACGCTTAGTATGATTTAGTACGCTTTAATATGCCGATATGCCGCAGTATTATAATGGTATTTGGGGAAAAGGGTTGTTACTTTGTACTAACGACAAAGTTACGAAAGCACTTTTTTTTTGTTTTTTTTAAATGCCCAGAAAAGAAAAATGGTATCGTTGGGGCCCAGACTAAGTATCTTACAGTATAAATAATACATGTATATACAATTAATGGCTCATCTCATTAACTCACTCATTCTCACACGTTAAACAATAGTTTAAACAGCATAAATCATTATATACCAACAAAAACGAAAGCACGTATTTGGTTTTGACATCTCAAAGTTTCACCTGTAGAGTCCACATAGTTTGACTATATGGGTTTGTGAACTTGACGATCTATTTAGAATTGATGAAGCTAATAAATATGATTAAAAATAATATATTAATTAATTAATTCAATTTAAACCTTGATTCATATAGTTGATTTCATGGATTATTTATGATATAAATGATATATATTTTTATTTATTATGTATATGTGTATCTATTGAAATAGAACTTAAAAAATCATACGATCTCATAGCGTGAAACTCTGAATAACAACGTGACTTTTTAGACTCTGTTTTAATATTTCTACATCACTCTACAACTGATGTATTGAGCTCTATTATAACAGTGATATTTCTACATCACTCTACAATTGATGTATTGAGCTCTATTTTAACAGTGGTATTTCTATATCACTCTACAATTGATGTATTGAGCACTATTTTAAAAGTAGTATTTCTATATCACTCTACAATTGATGTATTGAGCACTATTTTAACAGTGGTATTTCTATATCACTCTACAATTGATGTATTGAGTACTATTTTAACAGTAGTATTTCTATATCACTCTACAATTGATGTATTGAGTACTATTTTAACAGTGGTATTTCTATATCACTCTACTATTGATGTATTGAGTACTATTTTAACAGTAGTATTTCTATATCACTCTACAATTGATGTATTGAGTACTATCTTAACAGTGGTATTTCTATATCGCTCTACTATAGATGTATTGAGTACTATTTTAACAGTGGTATTTCTATATCGTTCTACAATTGATGTATTGAGCACTATTTTAACAGTGGTATTTCTATATAGCTCTACAATTGATGTATTGAGTACTATTTTAACAGTGGTATTTCTATATAGCTCTACAATTGATGTATTGAGTACTATTTTAACAGTAGTATTTCTATATCGTTCTACAATTGATGTATTGAGCACTATCTTAACAGTAGTATTACT